AAATGGCACTTTTGCATCTGAACTCTTCAAATTATGTTCGTTTTAACATAACCCAGTTATGTGGAACCTGTTGACATAAAAAAGTTAATCATAGCCAACATATCATTTTTTTGAGTGCACTGAAGTATATCAGTTATAGCAGCATCTGCCTTTAACATAGATAACATAAATAATCCCTTAAATACATATTTGCAAAGCCCTCTTAATGTTCTGTACATAAAATGCCATTCAAAATTGTTTAGTGGGATGCCGCCTGCACATACATAGTTATTAATTTATTTATGTATATATTAATAATAATATATTTTTTCCTGACATGATTATACTGCATCACATCAGTGCTGTAACTGTTCTAGGTCACCATCCTCCTTTTCTCTTACACTGAATAGCTCCACTCAGGGCATTATTACAGATCCCTGAAATAGTCTTGCTGTCTTGCATTTGGCCTTGATTTCTCAAAGATTTGATAATATAGTTTGATAGTGACGGAATATCATTCAAATTTACTGGCAACACACATACACACAGAGAGATTAGAAAACTCTTCCTTGACTGGGGTTTTTTCTTCTTCAATGAATTATCTTATAGTCAAAGCAAACATATACCACCATTTGAAATATAGTGTTGCACTGGACTGGCTTAGACTGTCTACTGTTTTTTTTTTTTTAAAGCCAATATTGCGTGCAATCATATCCATTATGATTATTCTGAATCAATAAGTTCAATATAAAGAGCAAGAAAATAGTATCATTCAGACTCCATCATGGCATCTATAAATGGTTTGCCATTTTTGGGGGGGAGGGAGGGTGCACTCTTGGTTCTATGGTTCTATTTAGAACCAGAAATGGTTCCATCCCCCGCTTCATATATGGAATTCCAAAATGTTTTTTATAGAACCATTTTTTTTGGTAAAAGGTTCTACTGGCCAAGTATGGAACCCCAGGGTTCTATAAAGAACCCAGAGGAACCCATTTTTTAAGAGTGTATAGAACCTTTTAAAGGGTTCCAAATATGTAGCGCTGATAGAACCTTTTAAGAGTGTGGGGGGTAGCCCTTTTCTAACTGCTCTAGTGTCTTACTTTCAATCAGGATCGATTATCTTCCACCATCTCCTGCACTCCTAAATACTCACTTCAAAAACACACGCATTCACATGCTCAAAGTAGTTCTGCAACGATGGCACAGGCCATTTGCAACAATCACGAGAGCTTGTTTGTAACTGAACCTGAAGGAACAAATAACTGAGCTTGGAGCCAACGAGTAGGTGTGGAGAGCTTTATTTTAAAATAGAACTGATGAGAGCAAATGAAAGCTTGGTAAAGCATGTGGACACCCCCTTATAATTAACATCTTTGGCTTTTCCAGCTACATGCAAAACTAACAAGTACATAAAATCAAGCAAACAGCCATGCAATATCCTTAAAACAACATTTTGAGAAAAATGAGGCTTACATCTTGTGTTTCAGCAACACAACGCACTTCTGCACAAAGCCCAGACCTGAATTCTGAACATCTGAGGGAAATTTGCCGAATTTTATTCAGCAAAAATGCATTAAATTGATTATTAAATCACGCACCACCACACACTGACCTATCCCAGCTTGTTTACATTACACCCGATGCTATTTCACCATCACTTGAGCATAACATGAGTCTTTATAAACACAACTGAGCACAATCTCGAACACATTCTAAACACTCTTTCAGACGGTTTGAGGAATTTGTCGATGTTCACAAAATCTCATTATGGTCAATGTCAAATTTCGCCTTTCCTTTTCTTCATAAGCATAGCATATATCAACTTGCATATAATCCATTGTAACGTTTTCTTACCGATCCTTCTGTCCCTGGTCAGGCTAATAAACACAGGCAGGGAATAAACAGAAATTGGTCTTTCAGGAAGAGCCCAGTGCTACAGGACAGCCCGATTGTCTGGCAGTCAGGAAACATGAGCTCTGGAGGCTGGCATGGGATGGCCGCCAACACCACCAGCAATTACCCAACAAACACTGCTTCCAGAAAGATGATGTCATCATTACAATAGCCAAGCCTCTCCTCCATCGTTTCGATTTTATATTACTAAGAAGTCGTAGTAAATCTCAACATACTCTCAGGAACAACTGTCTAACTAAAGGCATGCTGTTTAAATCATGGTAGTATCCTTAACAGCCACTTATTTTAGAATCCATTACGAAGATCCAGACCAGCAGTAATGATGCTGTGTGCTGCATCATCATGATTCATGGTCAAAAGTTAAAACTGTTGATTTACTTAATCATTGTGAGTCATTCACCTTCTAGCAAAACCATCAAAATGCAAATCATGGGGTGAAAGAAGACTTCTTTTCAAAATGTGTCCTTAAATTTCAGACTGCAGTGTGACAGCATATTTTTACCCCCCTGGTGCTTTTCGGTCATTTTTTTTTTTTTTTTTTTGAAAAATGTCATGTTCTTTTTTTAATTTTATTATTATTATTTACTTCATTGTAATGGTACAAAACTTGGTAAAGGTTAAGTGGTCCTGAAAAAGTCACATTTGTACTGTTCACATTGGAAACAAATGAAAAGCTAATTTCATCTAGTGGAAATGTTTGGTACTGTGCCCAAACAAATCTTACTGAAAGTTCACTTTTTGAAAATTGTGGCTATGATTTTCTCAGTTTTAGAGTAAATCTTCTTTTGAAAAGTATGCAGTTCTTAATTTTAAAAATAGCAGTTATATGAATTTTTCATAATAATAAACTTCTATGACTCTTAGTTTCACTATTTAAACTTTCAATTCAGCAATAATCTGCCAAGTTTCTTCTTTAAAAATACTTTAGTCTTTGATCCAAATCATTCAAGATTTACAACAGTTTAAGTTAAGGAAATTAAATTTTCAGGTCTATATTCAAAAAGTGATTAACAAGATCATAACGATTCCATAAATATAATTTAATACCATAAAATACACTAAAAATACAAAATATTAAATAAAAAAACATTATCAAACCAAAATAAATGAAAAAAAAAAAAAAAAATCCACGCGCAGAGCATCAGAGGCTTAACACAAAAAGCATTACATATATTGTAAAGACAGATAGTCTACAAGCTTGTTGCAAAGATTCAATGAAAGAATACGAACGAATCAATTTGAATCAGGCTTCAGTACCCTGGCCTAAAACAAGCCCAGGAGGATTTGCTTTATCTCCCTCTAATCATTCATAGCCTCTCCAGGATGAGTCCTACTTCCATTCATCACTTTGACAGATAGAGCTTGTTCCCCCCTTCATCACCATTGGACATAATTAAATTCGGAGGAGGGGAAGAGGTCTGCAACTCCAAATTGAAAATGTAAAATTGTAAAACGTGGAAATTCCAATTTGTGAAAGTTAATATGGAGACTTTGAAGAATACTGGAAAATGGGTTTGACAAAGTTAAAAATAGCACATCTTGGTACTGTAAAAATAAAAATGCAGAGAAATGTAACTGCAAACCCTCTTGGTAACCATAGGAACCATGTGAGGAGGCAACAAGCCGAGTCAAGGGATGGAATATACCATTCATCATTGGTGAACCCACATTCACCAACCCACATGATGGCTCATTTTCTCACCATAGGGAGGCTTTAAAGAGGCAGTTCACCCAAAAATTGCATCAGTTACACGGCCTCATGTTCCAAACCCATGCTGTTGTTTTTTTGATCCAGTGAAATGCAAAGAAATAGCTTTGTGTGGAGAACAAATACGGTGCCTTTAGATGCATCAGATTGGATGAACAACATTGATATAAAATTTTCAGCTATTTAGCTTTGACAGATAGTTTGTTTCTCATAAAACTATTGAATGTTTTTTGTCTTTTCTGGAGCCTGACAGACTTCGAACTGTTGTTTCATGGACAACATCTTTTTCCAAAGGGTTTTTTTTCCCCCGAATAAATAAAGGTTTGGAACAACATCAGGGTTTGTAGATGAGTTTCAAGCTGAGAATTTATTTACAGATAATTATTATTATTTTATTTCAATTAAAAAAGCAGTGTGAAAACAAGTACAGTGAATAATTGTTAAAGCGGGACACTTAAGGATATAGCATTTATCATCATCTTCACTGTATATTTTTCCATTACAATTAAGCAACAACTTTATCTTAACTTTCTCATCTGAAGCAAGTGTGTAAATAAAAATATAACAGAAAATTCTGTCATGACAACTTTCTAAATGATTGGCATGGTAATGGAAATGACAAAGGTAGTTTATTTTTGCCGGAATAAATCTGCGAGCAAGTAAGACATGCAGCTGTTGTAATATATATTATACATTAATAACTCATAGCAGATCTATACATGTGGAGCTAGGGAAGGAGGAGGGTTTCTGAAAGCACATAACTAAAAAAGCTGACCAGTATTTGAAGGTTGAGCGCAGCAAGCTCATTGGCTACTGATACAGCAGGAACCAATCAGCTGTGCCCTGCAGAGATGCTTCATGCACATCTTTAATTGTATGCAAGTGTAATTTTAATTATGATTTCATATCAGTGTGTAGGCTTATGTCTAAAACAACCCATTTACTCCATTATCTGACCTTGTCATGACACAAACATTACTCTTCCCCATTATCAGTCATTATATTCTTAATTTCACTTATCACAAACACACACACCTTTCTTAAGGTTTATGGAGTGCTTGTCCAATCAGATATGGCTATCTGTGCATCAATCTCCCAGTCATACACCTCCACCTTTGGCATATGAATTAGTGGACGTGTTGAGAGACAAATTGAGTCATTTTGTTTGTCTTCGCCTATATGGCTTATGGTTTTAAAAAAATCAATAAAATGACCAGATTACCAGTTTTCCCGTGTACAACTGCAATAAACATTCATTCAAAATGAGATCTCATTCTAGCAGCCCTTCATACACTGCTGAGACGAGCATTTTGCGCATCTCCAAGGAAACGGTTTTTACAGATTGCAATGTGGTATGAAATATTACAACAGTAGTTACAATAAACATAAAAAAGCCTACCTGAGTCGAAATGAGAGCTCAGCGCAAAACTAGGGTTGAAAAACGACGCAGACATGACCAGCAGTGTTACAGTGCCTAACATGCTGAAGATAACGTGAAGTCCAGCAACGATGTCTCTGTTGTTAAAATAAAGAGTTTATTGTCTGGTCAAACAGGTCATTCCCTCGCTCCTCCATGTTAAAGAGCTAGAATAGGGGAACAGCCGGACAAATCCACCGGTTATGCGGTCTATTGTGGATGTGTTTCACCGCAAGCCATTGCCGTGTTCATTTGAATCTTCTCTGGTCATTTTCAAGGAGAGGGTCTCTGCGGTTGCTTCTTCTGCTTCTCTGCAGCAAACGACGCGCGCGCGCGCCCTGAGGAGCATTCCTTTATGTGTCCGACCGGAGAAGAAAGACCGAGACTAATTCTGCCATTCGTTTCCTTCGAATGTGTTTAGCCTAATTGAAGTGTTTGTTAATAAGCCTGATGGGAGCTGTTCAGTGCTGAAAGACACAGCGCCATCTTGCTCAGAGAGTCCTGACTGATTCTGCGGGAATCCGCGGAGGGGAGGAGATTGCGCCACAAGCGCAGCTGTGACTGACGCTAATATTTAACGATCAAAAGTAATTGGCTAGAGTGTAGACAATTATTACTATTTTTTGGTACGTTACAATTCGATTGTTCGTCGAAATGCAAATGTAAATCCGAAATGCAAATCCAAATGTTTTATGGTTCACAACTTTTATGTTGATGATTAGGCTACTGGGGGAACAGCTGGATTCTTGCATATTTGCACATAATTGCTTATTATAAAACGTAGGCTATATCTTCGACTTAGAGCTCTGATTGGATGAACTACTTTAAAAGATGATGTACAGTGCAAGTAGGCTAATTTTAACAATTAAAGGGAGTTCACGTTGAAATTAATTTTTGATATGTTTTAGCTTACCTCAAGGGCATCCTAGATCTAGGTGTCTTTGTTTCCACAGCATTTTCAAATTTGACATATTTTGGTCAAACCGTTGTTGTCTGTCAGTCCTATAAAGCAGTTTTAGGGGGTCCACCTCAAAGAGCATGCACAGAGAAGTCAAAATTAAACATGATTTAATGACTCGTGAATGTAAGTACACACTGATGGCCTAAAACACGAAACGAGCGGTTTGTGTGAGAAAACGAACAGTATATAGTTTTTACCTCTAGTTAAGATGTCGAACTGATCTGAATCAGATGTCCAACTGAACCGAACCAGAAAAAGTCTTATATGACTGAACCGTGTCCAATGTTACGCCGGAAGTGATCTCTGGCGCGTCTACTTCACGCATTGTTTACAAGGAAATTTCGGAAGTTTTACCATTCACTAAACATATTTATGCTGGGTGAAAGTCACTAAACATCCTGATTGCAATCAATAAGTTAAGTGATCATATATATATATATATATATATATATATATATACAGGGGCGTAGCATCAAATTTTGGGCCCTGCACACTCTCAATGTCAGTGGGCCCCCTACACATGGCATTGCACGATGCGGGTTAGCAAAATGAAAATTCAATTTGGAATGAAATGTATTTTTTTAATTATTTGAATATAAACAAGTATAAACAGTATTTAAATCTATAATAAAATCAGATTATAGTATAATGACTGGTTCTTTCATTCACCACCTGAATTGATGCATTTGGCCATACTGATGCAAGTTTTAAAAGAAAAACATTTATTTTTCAATAGGAGAACACAAGAACACGAGAGACAACTGTACCCTCAGAAATCATGGTTAAACTGATGCTATACCAACTTTCTGAGTTGGTCGCACCAGCATTTGATTTTGTCGCGTTTTTTTTTTTTTTTTTTTTGCTACATGCCATGGGATTAATCAATGCATGCCGATGAATAGTGGTTTTAATGGACCAAAGCTAGCAAAGGTTTAGCATAAATACCTGTAATATATTAATTATCATTGCCAAATTTCAGGATTTTCATGGATTTTGGACAGTAATTTTAATCTGTAATTTTAAGAATTTTACATTTGAATTACATTCAATCTATCTATTTACATTTGAATCATCTTCTGTGTCTGTCATTTTTCTATTAGCATCATATTTCTATCTTTTAAAAATCATTAAACATTCAAATGTATGCATTACATTTTAAAAGATTAGTATTACAACAAGCTAAAACAGATTTTTCGTTATCAAATTTTATAAGTTAGTTCAAAAATCAGAAATATCACACTCCTTACCTCCTGCATTTTGTAATAATTTGTTTCCTGAGACATTTTCATTTTTATATTTTTATTCATGAATTCGTAATTGGCGCGTTCCACCATCAGTGTGCAATGCGCGCGTGACGTCTATGTGTCTTGCGGAAGAACACTGTTGCCGGAGCTACTTCTCTCCATTAGTGTCTATGGCGAGTCATGCAGTCACTGGGCAACTTCGCATCCGAGTCAACCCCGGGAATCCGGGATAAAAAAAATAGTCCGAATATAAACACTTATAACATGTGTACTGTAGTGATTCAGGATAAGTCAAAAACACGGTTTGGAAAATGGATTCATGATGTAGCCTACTCGTTCGTTTTGAACATAAGTTACGGACTGCAGTCTGCAGCAGCTGATACAACGGTCGATGTTCTTTATATGCGACGCGACCACATACAATTTTAACTCGCACAATCACATTCTCAAAAAATGGTTGCACATGAGACCAATTTGGTCGCAGACTGGAACCCTGCATTAGCAGCAGCTGAATGGAGTTGACTACATTAACTTTAATTGGATGTAACGTTAGGTGCATAACAAGCAAACTCAGTTCACCTTTTAGGAAGAAAGCAGTCATCAGCTGCTTCCCCGCATTCTGCCTCCTATCTTTTTCTTTCCTCTCTTTCTTTTTTTGAAAGCCCGATTTGGGCTTTTGCAGAGCACGATCAGAGCAGGCTCCCGTTAAAGGCTCTAGACTCACTGCGTTATTACTTGTTTGCTGCCCGCTGCGTCTATGGGCGGTCGACGCGTTTCGGACTAAACCATTTGTAAGGGGGTCCAGAGTGTCTGGCACTGAGTTCATTTTGGTCAATATTTTTTTAAATGATTATTAATGACATCAATTGGGGGGCCCAACTAATTCTAATTAGGTTAATTTTTTTTTTTTTTTTGATGGGATTTCAAAGGGCCCTCTCCCTAGACGGGGCCCTGGGTAGTCAGGTCCACCTTTCCCCCCAATACTACGCCCATGTATATATATATATATATATATATATATATATATCGTCTATGGAAGGGGAAGGACTGTAACATGTTTGTCCAATCATTGCAGCGATCCGAATGTAAAAAAATAAATAATAATATTTAAAATGAAAACAATTCTTTTTTCAATGTTCCAATATAAATAATATCGATTGGGTTGTGAGAAAAAAAAGCGATTGGATTTCATCAAAAATATCTTCATTTGTGTTCTGAAGATGAACAAAGGTCTTACAGGTTTGGAACAATATGAGAGTGAGAAATTAATGAAGGAAATTTCATTTTTGGGTGAACTAAATCAGCATATTGGATTTCAGAAGGAAAATTTGACACAGAAAATTTTAAATTCAGCTTTGCCATCACAGAAATAAATGACATTTTAAACAGTAATAAATAAATAAATATAAACAATAAATAAGAATAGAAATGTTCCCTTGAAAAGCACAACAGAGATCTACGAAAGAACAAAGGCACAGGGTCTGACACTATGTATAGCAACGAGATAAAATACTTTCTCATCAAAATCAATATACTTCAGCAGTCTTTTTTTTTTTATTTGGATTCAAAGAACATGTCCTGTTACCAAATCTGAAGACTAATGAACACATATGCCCTTACACTATGTGTTTCCTTGTCCTAAATGGAAGCTGGTTCAGAGGCTAGAGTCATAATGTAAAGTATTCTGTTTGTCTGAGACAGCATGTCACTCTGTCAGGGTTGCCGTGGAAACACTGTGGATAGCGAGCACGTTCATATAGCGCTGAGATGAATGTTAAAAGCACCTTTTTTCTTTTCTCTCTCACACTTTTCTCTAACTGCTGAAATATGCCTCTGCCTGTCGGTGAAACAGAAACCTGTATTTGTTGGTTGCTTTTCCTTCAGAAAATTCCATTAAAAACAGAAAGTGAAAGGGGCTTTCAATTAATATACATATAAGTCCATTAAAAGTTTGGGGTTAGTAAGACGAATAATAGTTTTATTCAATTGTTAAGTACAGATTTCCATTTCAAACATGCTGTTCTTTTAAACTTAACGGGACAATGTGTCCTTTTTTATGTATTTTATTATTTAAAATCAACATATTTATTCATAAATATGTCCTCAATGGTGTACAAATACCTCTGCCAATTATTTGACATCCTCGTAAACGAAGAATTTATTATCTTTAAATACATGGGACGGGTAAGTCCACGGAGGCTTCTATGTAGTTCCGCCATCTTGAAAAAGTATAATAGCAGAGAGGGACAAAAAGTAATTTTTTTCACTATTTTCTAGTGAGTATAAAAATATTGGTTTAGAATACTAACATGACATATCCTCAAATATATTTACAGAAAATTATAAAGATTCAACATTCATAATCCTAAACAGACCGAGATCCCAAGAAAATAGGACTCAAATGGACTTGTGGTGATTAGAATAGTATTAAAAATAAGTTATTTTATTTATTTATCTTGTGCTGTTATTACTGTAGAAGAAAGCCTAAAAGGGAAGGATTGATTCGCCTTGCTGCCAAACTTGTAATAATTGACTCTCACAAACATCTCTCCATTATGTGTGACTAGTGCATTATCTGACATTTGAAAGTATTGGTACTTACACACACCATTATTGCAAAATTGCAAGAGTGCATACAGAAGCCATATAGTGATATTTTCTAGGAAAAGAGCTCTCAATCGATTTATATACTACAAGGCATTTGAATAAATTCAAACAAAGTATGTGTTGCTCATGAGGTTTGAAGCATCTCTGAGAATCTCTGGTGTGCTCTAGAGTCTAGACCATCTGAGCAAAGCTGAATTTGATCTGTGCTCTTCAACAGATTAAAGCTCCTCCCTCTCAAAGAGAATGTCAGCAGGAGGAAAATCATTATGAACACACATGCAGTACTTTTCAAAAAAAAAAAAAAAAAAAAAATAGGACGACTCTTTCTTTAGTATGTAATGTTGTTATATGAGCATGAAAAGGTCTGCAAATTTGCAACGCACAAAGTCCAATCCGAAGGAGGTTATTCTCTAAATCTGTTTCTAAACCTCCTGAAACACCTCAATTGTAGTTTGTAGATTGAGGTTTATTTTTTTTCCTCATGGGAATATGCACATATTCATCAAAGAAATAATTCCTGCCAAAGGTAAGCTCAAAAGAAAGGGACGAGGCCTGGTTGAGTTGAGTTAATCATGTCTTGAAATTTGCAGTTATGGTAAGGGACAAGACATTTTCGAAACACGTTCGAAGTGGCTGACCAATCACAACACACTAGTCCAGCCGACCAATCAAAACATATTGTGCTAGAGTTGAAAAAAAATTAGCAAAAAGCATCAAACAAGCTCTTTAGCTCTGCCCACTCCCACGAAGCAACGCAAATGACATAATCGAGATGGTCTCCATATGCTCTCAAAATACTTACATATTTGCATATACAGTATGTGCATATTTTGCAATAAACTTAAAATATAGTTTTATATTTCCTGTATATATCGCAAAATGCTTTGGCAAGGCATATGCCTTTAAGTGCAATATTCCCACTGTTTAGTGCAATAACATAAACTCAGGTGATATTTATATGTACGTACGCAATTTAGAATTTTTAAAACACTATAAATATGCTCATGATCTGTAAATCTGTAAATGTTTATTCTGACTAAACCCAACTGTGTCATTTTTATAATTTTTTTTTATTATAATTATGTTTCTTGTTGTATTTTTATATGTGCACTGGAAGCCTCAGCACCAAAACAAATTCCTTGTGTGTGCAAGCACACTTGGCAATAAAGTTCTTTCTGATTCTGATGCTTCATGGGATTGTAGGTCTTTCTATCATTAAAGTTGTTTTGTCTGATTTTCAAATACTTATAATGCTTTAACAAATACTTAGTATTATTATTATTTTTAATCCCTATGGGTAAAATAAATGGAAAAACAATATTAATTATTTTTAATAATTAATATTTATTAATTATTAAATTAATACATAATTTAATAAATAATTATTAATTATTATATTATAAATAATATAATTGGGGGGGGGGGGCACTGTTGCACTCTCAGAGTGTATCTTACAAACTGGGAAGGGAGGTGCAGCAACAATGTAAAATATATAAAAATTAATGCGCTTTTTAAAAATTCAAGAATTACAACCTGTTCTAGTATAACCCCAAACCAAAAGACTTTGTAAAAGCATAATATGGCCTTTTGATGGCACCACATGACGTGTGATTAAATTGCATATTATGACAGCTATGAAAAATGCTTTTTCATTATGAGGCATAAATCCATTTCTAAAAGGAGAAATTTCATTTCTTTCAGGATGCATCTTCGTGTTGTGAGTCATAACAGCTTACATAATAAATTGCCATGTCTTAGGATGCTTAATTTAAACCAGAAAGCCCCTCCCCCCCTCTTCTTTAGCCTTTTCCCCCATTTGTCTTCGTCTCTCTTCTGCTCTGATCCACTTGGCTGTGTGGCAAACAACCATCTAACTCAATTACATGCTTCTTTCTTAACCGACTGTAACAGCCAACCAAAAGCTGGACACACAGTAAAGCGATTATATACAGGAGCATAACCTCAAAGTGTGTGTGTGAACAGCCATCAGTTGTCATTTTTTAAGTAGCCTTCGGCGAAACGTGAGAGAGCAAAACGCATCCACAAAATCAGCTCGATTTGTGTTTGCACATGCAGCCAACTCTTGTGATGTGCCATATCACTATTAAGAGACTGAGAGAATTCAACTTCTAAATGTGAATGGGAAACCATGTCAAGAGAAAGAAAGTGCACAAGAGAAACTGAGGGCTCATTTATGCATGTTACAGCTTATGGCTCTATTCACATTGCATAACACCACGAATATGACAAAGAATAAGGTTCTTCATTCTTCATAACAGGCTATAAATAGCTGGTGAAATAATCTACTTCTTATTTTAGGTCTATTGCCTTTACAAATAACAGCTGGGATCATATTAACCTCGGGCCAAAAATAGATTAGTGCTGTGATGAACAATTAAGAAGATACAGAATGGAGATAAATGATGACAGATGATCAAAGTATGCATGCAGTCTGTAATTAAAGGTTGTTGGTGGTGAAACAAGAACAATAATGCTGCATATATCATGTTTCCAACCATGTTTTTTTTAAGGTCACACTTTTGCTTCATTCGCATAAGTTACATTGCCAGTTCGCTTTAGGGAAGTAAGATGGTGCCTCTCTGACAGGCGAGAGACACAAGATTTCATTCCCCTCATTAGTCAAATGGTGATGGTCATTACAAGTATTAGGATATCCAGCACCGGTCCTGCCAGCACTCATTTATACAAGATAGCATCTTTGCCTCAGTCATTACTGAGGGCTTTATGCTTACGCAAGCATGTAGAGAGGTTTACTGGAGATAAAATGTTGTTCAAAATACACTTCCAAATGCCAGAAGTAAATTTCCCATGACTCATTTCTCCCATTGACGTTTTGTAAAATCCACATCTAAAGAGTTTTAGAGCTTGTTTGAGGATAACCAGCCTATGGCTGAACTCATAAGCAACATATCATTTCGAGTGAAAAAAACTCAGAGAAAATCCAAAAAAAGTCAAGGTTACGTACAAGACTGTACATATTTTCAGCAAAGGAACTACTGATCCCATAAACCACCGCGCCTCACTGAAATCGACTGAAGCCACCGTGAAAGAGGCTTTTGTTTTGAGTGACTTCCAAATCTGTTAAAGCATTCTACGTGTTAGAAGCAGACCATTTCCATTTCCCTCCAAAATGAAACACAAAAACTTGAAAAATGTTATTATACGTATTTAAAGGCCCTAAGCATCAACATAATAATCAGTGTACATTATTCGTCAATATTTTCCGATAATTCCTGGAAAGGAGGACAGACATCTCTTTTCTGATGACGTTTGGCGCCCTTTATCCTTTTCGAGAAGTAGATTGGAACATACTCCACTGGAATATACGCCAAAATAGGGAGAAGAAAAAACTATTCTTTCCGTTTCATGCTGACTTTAAGATGCGCAAAGACAACAGTGAACAGTGAGTGTAAAGAAAGCAGAAACACTTCACCCACACGTTGTAATATTGTGAAATTCATCACATAACTGTAATTTCATAACTGCATTCACATCCCACATTAACATCGTCAGCCCACTTGTAGCACTGTAGCTTCAAGTCCTCATCTCTGTCTGAATAACAAGTTTCTCAGGTAAAGTTACGTTATGTCTTGTGCTCTCAGCCCCAGGCAGGCACCCCTGTCAGTTGAACACACAGGCCGTTTTGGACACCGCAAACAGTGGGATAGAGATCGACGTCTAAAAATAAGAGGTAACCGAACCACATTCAGTGCCTCCGTAAGTCTTTCACCTCAATCAATAATAATTACACAGACAGCAGTCACATCACACTAAACTGGGATCTGAACATAATTATTCAATATGGCTGCAATTGAAAACAATCAACACTAGATGGCAGAAGAGTATGCAAATGCACAAATTGCAACGTCCATTAGCCAAGCTTGCAGTTGACTTTAGCACAAGATTTGTTCATCGTTAAAATTGTTTCTCTTTTAATTAGTATCAAAAGCACACAAAACCTGTTCTTGAACACTGGGGCAACGCGCAGACTGCAGAAGCCTTTTTAAGTTTTCTGAAGCCACACCCTCGATTTCTCACGCTGAAGTGTCAACCCCGTTGAGGATAACCATCAATCAATATGAAGTATGATATTGACTGATGATGACAGGTTGTAACCCTCCTATTATCCTTGGGGTCAATTTGACCCCATTCAATGTTTAACGTCTGTAAAAACATAATTTTTTTTTTTTTTTGCTTCAAATTTAATGACTTTTCCTAATTTAATGGGGAGAAATATTAAAACTTCACACAAATTTGTTTTGGTTGTTATATTGAGGTCATTATAACATGTTATAATTTGAATTTATAATGTTCATTGTATTTTTACATATTCAACATCATTTTCAAAAAATGTCCCTCTGTTTTAGGGCTCTAACCAAACATAACCATATCTGTAGTATTGCGAGAACTAATAGTAGTTCACATGACATGTGAAACAATTCTCAAGATAACTAATAATTCTTCCCTGTGTATTTGGGAGGGGAAAACATAATTTTTGTGAGAAATTTGATGCTTCCTGTGCCATGGGGGAGGAGAAAACATAATTTTTGTAAGATTGACCCCAAACATACATAACTCGTGTTACTATCCTTGATAAAATAAATAGTTTTTCTTTCCAAATGTCATAGATTACATAGATCTATACTTTGAAATATTATAAAACAAATAAAACACCAGATGTATTTATACTTTTCAAATTTTAGGTCAAATCAGTAAGATTTTATGTTGATTTCTGAATTTGTCCATAGTCGTGCAATGGGTATTCTGGATGTATAAGAGGTTAGGTGGGGTTAGGTGGGGTGAGGAGGGGGGTGGTGGGTGGATGTCAACTTAAAACGTTACTTAAGTAGTCAACAAAGACATAAATTAACTGAGACAAACCTTTGTAAAAAAAATAAACATATTGTTGAGGTTTAAATTAGGTCAAATTGACCCCAGAGGGTAAAAAGTGTTATCAGATTTGAGGGTAACAGTTATGTATCTTAGAAATGTGATAAGATCAAACCAAACATTCCTGGAGGAACTTCTAATAAAATGTACAACACTGTAAAGTGGTGCAAATATTTTGCTCCAACAAGCCAAATGACACTGCATTTTTCAGGTCACACCTTAGGTACATAGACACTTAAAATGAAGATGATGAAAAGTATATATATATATATATATATATATATATATATTTATGTATATAATGTGAACAAAGTGGAGCCATATCATTTATTACCAACTAGACAATTTTAAAAGATTTATTCTGAGCTTAAAAACCTGTAGGACTATCTTTCCATTTTCTAAACCCTTAACCATTTTATAAAAGTGAAGCAATTTTTAATCTCTCTAAACATGAGTGTGGTGAATCTTTAAACCAGTTAAGTTGACCAGAATGAACATAACAGTTAAATTATTCGGTAATAAAATTATTAAATATAATCAAGAGATGGCATCAAGTGACCAAACAGACCTTAACAGAATAGATACAACAAATCATAAAAGAAATTCACATTTTGATTCAAAAGTCTTGTGAAATCAACATAAGATATTGCACTTTAAATCTTCCAAGTAAACTTAACAGCGTACAAATTCCTCTGAAAAACAGAAAGAAACCCCTTCTTGATTGACACGAGGCAACACGTGCATTTTGAGTGAACCATATATTAACACATACCTGATTAAAGGAATATGATTAAAATTAAAAATATTATTCTCTTTGGTTGATTAGTTTTGATTTTGTGTGGGGCTCTGAAGCCTTTAAAGTCTGTTTCCCTCACACACAATGGTAGTCCGTCATTTGAGAAGTCCAAAGGCACGTATTCCAGAATTCTCGTACGTGGTCAAAAGCAGCATCACAATTAATCAATCTGATTGATCAATCGGAAATATGACACGTCGTATGTGTGAACAAGTACTGGCCAGTTAAACAAGATTTACTCCCGTCTATAACCATTTTTGAAAGGCCTCTCCCCACATTAGCCAGTCATTTGTCTCTCGTGAATTCGCTACGTAGCTTCTCCTACGTACTTCTCCTAAGAACAATATATGATCTTTACCTTCCAAAGCAAAAACGCCTCATACAGAGGGGAGTATAACAGGTTTGTCCTGTGCACACCTCTCACAGGATTTTCAGTTCTGACTGAAAAAAAAAAAACATCTCACACAAAGTGTGGCATCCATCCTTTTGTGCTCACTGACGCATGAAAATATTCATCAGTCCAGCCTGATGCAGCTCTTGCCACAACCTCATTTCCATGCGCATGTCATGGTTGGCATAAAAATGCACTGGACGTCTCTGTTTGTCATAGTAGTGGTCTGAATACAAGGTGTAGTCAGGGGTCATGAACCCGTAAGCATCAACCTGTTAATAACACAAACATCATATAGTCACAAACTTTCACAAAGAATGTTTTATGCAACCCAAGCTTATTGGAAATACAAGCAAGATGGCATTCCTGTAAAAAGCAACATTTTGTTTTTTTTTTTTTTTTTTTTTTTTTTTGCAGCAGTTTTTATTTTTAGCTGGAAACTGCAGTGATATTTTTTTGCAAAAGTGCAAGTAGAGAGATGCACTACCAATAAGCCTGAGTTTTTTTATGATGCCAATACAGCCTGTCAGGTGAGTCTTTAATATGTACTGTAGTTAACTTACAGCAGTCAACAACTGTCTGGTTAGATGACACATCTAACATATTTGAAATAAGTGCCACTAAAACAGTGTTCAAACAGTGTTTGACAACTTTTACTACTGGACGTTGTTTTCATACAATTTGAGGTATAATGTTTTATTGCCTGTACAAAACTGTCATTAGTTTCTTATCAATTGTGACCTCCTCTAAATGGATGGATGAGGATATGGGTGTTTCATCAAACATGTGTCTTATGAGTTTTTCCTGCTGTATAATGAGTATTTTACAGCAGGGCACACTCATAAGACACATGTTTGGTGTCATCTGTAAAAAGACTAAACAAACCTGGTCACATGTATGAATGGCAGCCAGGAGCATTACTGCTCCAGTGGACGGCCTGTAAATTCTTCTCGCGCCTGTTTTCAGAAGTTTCGAATGCAGGAACCTTGATGATGAAAAAGAAAAGGTATAAACTTAGATATTTACACTAAACAAAATTGCAACACTCTGTGGACTCATATTAATGTGTAATAACCACTGAACTGCGTAATTGACCGCTGTCTCCTGCAACGGATTTCCAATATAGCTGTGCCAGATTAATGCGTCTCGTTTCACTCTGCAGGATCTTTCCTCACATATAATTTCAACTCAAATCAAGCAGTCATGTAATAAGCAGGATAATGTGCAGTCAACCGCTTTGTGTTTCTTAATCCCCCTGTCTACAATTAATTGTCCCATGACGACTAGCTGAGTACACATTATCCCTAGTCTCTGTTTGCAAAGCTTACCTGTTTCTGAGGTAACGAATAAAGTCAGGGTGGTAGATTTTGAATTTTTCTACAGTCACATCTTCACCAAAGTATGTAGGGGGTCTGAGAGAGATATACATTCCAATTAAATTGAGTCTTAATGGTGTGTACAATGCACAAAGGAAAAATAAACAAATGTTAGTTGGGTTTTTACAATTTATTTACAATAGTGATTAAAAACAATGAGGGTTGGACTGTATCTGTTTTAACAATCAAGGATACGTTTAAGGAACCTTAGAAATATCCGTTTACATATATTTACTTTTTGCTGCGCTCAGGGCCTTTATCAATTGCTGTGTGTGTCGAAGCCGCCCTCATCAGAATGTAATCTCGGTCATGATCCGGCAGGAATATATACCTGGTCTCCTGAACAGATGGATATCAAGATGAAGAGACAGTTAGCAAACAACAACGTCAAAACAACGAGGAACCTGATCATATTGTAGTCATGACTATTTCACTCTATAATCATTTTGACAAACAGTGGAGTTACTTTGTCTGGGCACACTTTATATTTCGTGTCTTTAAGTACCATGTGCTTACATCAAAAAATAAATACATAGATATGTACATACATACAGTCAGCTCTTAGATTACTCTCTCTAAAAAGCATTTAATGCTAATCTGAGTAATCTGGCTCCCTCTCTATTTTCTCTTTACATGCTTCCGTTGGGCACTATTTTAAGGAAACACAGTGCATCATTTCATCTGTATGCGGACGACACCCAAATTTACATTCCATTCAAGAAAAATGACCCTGCGGCATTAAACTGTCTTCTACTATGCTTAGAGGAAGTGAAGGCATGGCTGGCCCAAAACTTCCTCTCCCTAAATAGTGATAAGACCGAGGTCATTGTCTTCAGCCTGAGTGAAAGGTCTCAGTGCTTAAGCCCAAACTTGGGGAGCTTAGCCCCCTTTAAATCGACAGAAGTGCGAAATTTGGGTGTTCTTATTGACCAGTCGTTAAAACTTGACAAACACATATCAGGTGTCGTCAGCTCCGGTTTCTACCAACTACGTCTATTATCTAAAATCAAAGGCTTTCTTACTCCGGCAACCCTGGAAATGGCAGTTCATGCTTTCATCACGTGTAGGCTCGACTATTGCAATTCACTCTACTGTGGGATATCTGCTTCTCAAATTGCCCGTCTTCAGCTGGTCCAAAACGCTGCGGCTAGACTTATTTCCAACTCTCGCAAATATGACCACATCACTGCAGTTCTTGAGTCTTTACACTGGCTACCTGTCCGGCAGAGAATTGATTTTAAAGTCCTACTATTTGTCTTCAAATCCCTACATAGCCTAGCCCCAGCCTATCTCTCCGAACTTATTCATCCTTATACTCCATCCAGAAGCCTAAGATCCCACGACCAGGCTCTGCTGGTAGTCCCTCGTGTCAGACTTAAGCGCAGAGGGGAGCGTGCTTTTGCTGTGCCAGGGCCCCGTCTGTGGAACACCCTGCCCCTAGAGATTCGAACGGCCCCAAACCTGTCTATTTTTAAATCTTTGGTGAAAACCTACCTTTTCTCTTTAGCATACTGATCTCCTTTTAAGTATTTTATTATGTTATAACTGGGTCTCTGACAAGGCTATTTGTAGCTTTGCTGCCTTTTATGTTTTTTTTTTTTTTTTTTTTTTTTTTGTTTGTTTGTTTGTTTTTAATTCTGTGTTCTGTAAAGCACTTTGGTCTGTCTGAGTGGCTGTTTAAATGTGCTATATAAATAAATGAACTTGAACTTAATTACTTTTAGTTACTAATTACTTTCAAAATCCCATATCAATCTCAACCAGCTGAATAATACAAGGATAGACATGAATCTGTTTTAATTCTTTCAAATAAATACTATAAAATTGCATTATCCTTAAACTGACTAAGGTGGAGAAGGTTATTATAAAAACATACTTTTTAACATCAGACAATACATTTTGATGTTAAACCCACTATTGTTTTATGTCTGATCTCGTGACATTTCAGCCTTTTTTCATACATATTTTACAATAATTCATACGAATTTGTACGAGTGCGAAGTCCTCATAAAATGCATACGAATCGCCGTGAGATCGGATTGATCTATACACAGTATTTACCTCAATTACATCAGAAGTAACTGTAATTCAATTACAGAAAAATTAAGAGTAATCCCTTACTTTAAATTTTCAAGGGAAAAGTAATTAAATTACAGTAACTAATTAGTTACACCCAACACTGCATACAGTACAGACATACATGTTTTGTGGTGGGATACGAGTCATGGTTTGGGTGGGTTTAGAGAAGGGTCAACCGTGTAAATATAGATGTAATTACAGAAATGAATTACATGCGGTTATTTTTTAAATACAAGTACCATGTGAAAACATGCAGGTACACAAGTGCATTGTATCAAATTATTAGTTTAAACGTTGGTACATGGTTAAAGACGCTTAATAATAAGCAGAGCACTGCGTCTCATCTTTGTGTGGACGTATACAATCTGGCATCATTGGTTACCTTTGATATGGGTGGACCTCTGTAGCCTACGCGAGCATAGCTACGCATGGAGTTTCGCATGGTGTTGGTTGAGAACGTGTAGAATGATGTCCGGGATCCCACATCTTTCTCAAACCCCTTAAGAGCCGCACCATTCACCCTGAAGATGGGAGACAGAAAAAGAGAAGCATTGTGATCTTGATCAATAAACCGTTATTTTATCCCAAAAGAAATAGCCAATTGTAAACTGCCTGAAATGGTTCGTTAGTAATTCCAGTCTTACTTTCTGCATATGGCCTTTATTGATTGTCCACGAACAATGACTACTTTAGTTGTAGCTGAGGCCTGGAAGAGTTTAGTTTACAGTATGTTGTAGAATAGGCTTGCTGCAGTAGTCGGTGTTACCGATGTTACACTGTGTTCGTCCATTCAATGATTACATTAATTGGCCACTATGGCACGCCACTGTTATAAACTCTCCTCATCCCCTTGCTGTTATTGGTAATACCGGTGTTGCCTTAAGTTTATATACCCGTGTGAAAATTTCCTCATGACATCCCTAATGTCAACATTTTCATTTTTGGGTGTAGTATCCCTTTAATGATCAACCTCCTCACCTGAAGACATAGTCATGTTCATCGATCTCCTTTCCTTTTCTTGAACCGTTCAGTATTCCGCCGTTTCCCACCACAGCACAGCGGATACACTGGGGTCTCTTCTTTCTCTTCTCCCAGTCATCAAACATCAACCGGTTCGCAGTTGTATTTAAAATTCCCAGTGAGCTCTTTAAAACTGTGAACAACACACACACACACACACACACAACTAATCGTTTTGGTCCATCATGTTGCACATTATCTTAATGTAATCACAAAAGAAATCCACAAAACAATTACACATTAAATACAGTATATTTACTTAATGAGTACTATAAAAACTTGATATTCAGTATACTAGTCATTTTTTTCTGTAACTCACTCTCTGTAAAACTGATTTTTTTGTAGAAAATGTTTATATATGCATTTTGTATGCATGTTAGTGCCTGCATTTAATAGGCAGTTAAAATCAGGGTTTCGACAGCTCCAGGAAACTTTTACCTGAACCAAACTATGCACAAAGATTTCTACAAAGATTTTCAACTATGGTATGAAAAATATATTCTATTAATATCTAGAATAACCTGATTGGCTCTAATTAAGCATATTAATTAGCATATTCTTTGGGCAACATGTTACAAAAAAGAAGTAGCTATAATACTTTGAGTAATAACTTGGCAACATTTTCATAATATCTCATATTTTAAAATAAATAAATAATTTCTTCCCTACAATGCCTGATAAGCTTGTAGTAAGTCCAGACCCCACTAAAAAAAAACCACTAGAATTGTTTTGAGAGGTCAATTTACGACAAACAACATGAAAATTTGTTAGATTTAAATAATTACAAACTACCATATTCCCATAAGGGTGCTGAATGTAGTTAGTCAATATAAGTCAAAGGCCAAGTAGAGGGAGTTGAGTACATTTAAACTTTGTGGAAGACTAACAGATTCCAGAAAACAACACACCTTCAATATTAACGCTTCCCCAGCCATGTGCTCCACCGTACTGACTCAAGCGTTGGTACTGGTCGGGGGTGAAATGTTTTGACCATTGAAGCACTGGAATAGTGTGTAGAAACTTCTCAGCAAACTGAGTCTGAGGCACACGCTTCCTAATGCTGTTGGGACAGTTCTGCAAGAGCGAGAGAGAGGAAAGGGAGAGAGTGAGTGTGTGTGTGTGTGTAAGAGATAGAGAGGAGGGGGAGGGCGGTTGAGAGAGAGGGAGTGTGTGTTAATATTGTTAACATTGACAATCTACAAGGTTAGTTCTATGGGTGTGGCAAGCTGCAAAACGAAAAAGAAAAAAAATGCTGCATTTCTTTATGAAATGGAAAGACAATAGCCAGGGTTCCATGTATTTTTACATGTCTTGTTATAAAATAAAATGAATATAATTAAAAAAAATTATGAAACATGATTGCTTGAGATAAAACACTATAGATGTACACTACCATTAAAGTTTGGTAGTGTACATCTACCAAACAACCCCCCCCCCCCCCAGTAAACACTAATGTAGTGAAATTATTACCATTCAAAATAACAATATTTTATTTTAATATATTTTAAAGTGTGATTTATGACAGTGATGACAAAGCTGAATTTTCAGCATAATTTCTAGTCTTCAGTGTCACACGATCCTTCAGAAATCATTCTAATACACTCTAAACAATGCTGGGTTGTTTTAACCCAAATTTGGGTAAAATATGGACAAACCCAAATGTTGGGTTAAAAATGTAATTTCTAATTAATTCATAAATAATACATTTCTAACTTTCACTATCAACTGTACATTTTTTAATTGCATTTTTAACCCAACATTTGGGTTCGTCCATATTTGACCCAAATTTGGGTTGCATTTTTAGAGTGTATGATGTTGATTTGGTGCTGCAGAAACATTATATATTTTACATTTTGAAAACAGTTGTGCAGGATTCTTTAATGAAAAGAATTCAAAAGAACAGCATTTATTTTAAATACTTTTAAAGTCTTTGCTGTCATTTTTGATTAAAAAAAAAACCCATCTCACTGAACCCAGACTTTTGAACAGTAGTGTATGTATTTTTTACATGGGTTTCACCGGTCACTTATTTATTTTTTTAATTTAGTATTTAATCTGAATAAAATACTGCCGTTTTGTTGTGATAAGACTAATCTTTGCTCACTACAAACTTCCGATGGCTCTTCACTGAATTTGAATGACCATTAAATTTGAATGACCACTGCATTTGTACAAATACTTGAATAAAACTGAATTTACGCAGGTTCTTCTGGAAATTGCTCACAATACCAACACAGGCACGATAGTTCACAATACTAGGCCCAAAACCACAAACAGACACTGACACTCACTGTTTGTGATGGAAAGTCATCTGTGGCGTACCGGTCACCAAAAAAGTCTGGTTCAGTGGGTTTGGTCTCATTTTTTGGCATTGGCTTTTTTGTTTTAAAATTTTCTGGATCAGCTTTGCTTGCGCTGTTTTGTAACACTGATGAATCCTCATCTGATTGCGGGGCTGATTGTCGCTCCAGTTCTTCAGCAGTGTCTAGTTTACTCTCAGCAGAATGTTGACTTTCCAAAGAACTGTTGTCACTCTTGAAAGAAAATGACCTAAGGGCAAAAAACAAACAAAAAAACAAAACATTATTTTCACTTTATAACAGTAAGCTAAGAACAACCAGCTGAAGTGAAGAGGACATTAGTACTAGCCCATCCACTAAATCATACATCAATATTCCATTGTTTTCCATGTATAACTGGGAAAAAAAAGTCAGAATTGCGAGATATAAATTAAAAGTCAACTAAAAGTCGCAATTTCTTTTACATTTTTTTATTATTCCTTGGTGGGAACAAGCTTCCATGTAAAACCAACACTTCACTTAATAATAATAATAATAACAACAACAACAACAATAAATCAATTACAAACACTCATTATTTATCCATTATTCTCACAGGAGTTATTATTGTGACGTGGCACAACAGGTTTTCAAAGTGCAATTTTAAAAGGCCCCAAACAACTTCTACAGAATCACAAGTTTTAATGTCAGCTAATGTGTTATTTCCTGACATTCTGTTGTTGTTTTTTTCCAACCATGCCTGTGTTAAAATAAGAGCTTTGCCCTTTTAAAAGAATCTGGGCTACATTTCACATAACAGACCCTACTTTCAGAGCAATGATTGTGCACTTCTCTAGACTAGAGAATCAAGCCAAACCATGATTCTACGCCTGACTGAATTAAAGGAGCAGCAGTAAATCTCAGGTTATTTGTTTCTTTCCCTTACTGGAAAGTAAATGACTAGGCAAAAGAGGTATCCTTATAAGGGATAGAACTGGTGTCTGCCTAGAAGCATCTAAGGAGGTTTATTCCTCGTCTCTAACGCTTTTAGCTGCTCACCTGAGGGTTTATAAGAAACTATTCTTTGAGAAGCTGTTTTTTGGAACAATACCTATTTTGGAAAGCACTGTGCAAATAAATTGAAATCCAAACCCCCCACTTCAGAAAACAAGGGCCTGGAGAGCAAAATGACATCAAATGACTTTCTTAGCTTCTGACACCCATCTCCATAGCAATAGCGAACATGCTGAAATCATTAGCAGAGGAAGAGATCATGTGATCACTCATGGCTCTCTAGAGATAACATGCGGACTGTGACGTTACTAACTAAATAACAAATGGAAAACAGATAAGAAGAGTTAACTTGAATTAAAAATGGGTTGATTTAAAGACTGGCGCATTTGAGATTCACCAGAGAGCTCTTAACTTTCACAATTATATTTGTGCAGTCTTCAGTCAATATATTTGATTATGATTTAATTGCTACTTTTTGCCTTTGTTTTGTTTTTTAAATAGTTTTAGGTCTTAGATTAAGCCAGGATTAGGCATTTGATTAAATTACCAGGTGTAAATGGGAACGCGTCTCCCTTGTCTGGTTGTGATCCGAATGACCAAGACACATTTCAATACCTTTGTGTGATGGAAAGTTTCCATAGATGTTAAAGTTTCTTCATGGAACCATAGATACCAAATAAAACAACCTTTATTTTTAAGAGAGTGTAAAAACAAAAGTCCACATGGCATTTTAAGAGATCTGTCTTTACCTGTAATATTTCAAGGGGGAGAGTCGGAGGGTCTTCATGTCCCATGGCACTTGGATCTGCAAAGCCACGCACACCACGATTAACGTCAGTATCGCGATTCCCAACAATCCAATGAACCACAGCAGAAGCCTCTGAGGCAGCTGGCCTATCATCGTGCTACTTTCCTCATGCACAAGTTCCTGTGAGTTTCCCAGAACGTCTGGTCACCATGTAAGCACATGAGCGTTCTCCTGAGGAACGGCTGCTTTGATGAAATAGGGGTTTAAAGGGCTCCTCCAGGGGAAAGGGAGAGTCGCTGCTTGTTAATTAGTTCATTTTGAGCTCCGGCTTTCACACATGGGAGTCTCCAGCACCACCGAGGATATATCTGTGAGAGGAAGAAAATAAATACAATAGAGTGAAACTCCACACGGCCGTTTCTAGTAATCCTGTTTTAATTAAAGGGCCTGGTAAACCATCAGCATGTGATCCTAGTTTCAAAGTGCACCTTTGCTCAAAGAGCATTTCAGATGCTAATTAATGGTGTCTAAAAGACTGCAGGATTTAACTAAGGAAGAAACGAGAGGGAACGAGTGAAAGAAAAGAGCATGAAAATACCATACAGACAGAAAATGGCGGTTTCCTGGAGTTGTATACAGAAGAGGGCGAGGAAAAGCCTGAGATATTGTGGTGAAATTGCTTGTTAGCAACTCTCCCCCCTGAGTACAGTTTTTTTTTTTTTTTTTCTAGGAAACCAGCATTACTCCCTCAGGAAATATTACTTCATGACCACATCTTCTGCCGATGTGTCTGGAAACACATAACTTCACAAATCATTTTCTATGCAGACCAAGTATGCAACATGTAGTTCTAGTTTTTAGCACATAAAACAATTTAAACATCTAAAACACAGTTTTCAGAGTCAGGATTTGTTCTTCACTAAAGTAATTTATGCAAATCTGGAAATACTTGTATTGACCTTTTGCTATTCAACATTCATAAACTAGTCATTATCATACCTTGAAGCTTAACCACATCTAACAAGTGAAAAATCTGAACAAAGAAAGACAAATTGCTCTGAAAGTTTCACTTGGGTTGTTTAACATAATGGGAGAATAAAACTGAATTCAGAGGCACAAAGCCTTACATTGTGTTTTCTTTAAGAATTCTTGCTTTTCTTTTTCTGACATTTGTGGAATGACAAGAATGCTATTTGTGGGAATCAGTGTTTTAGAAAGTAGAAATGCTCCGGAAACTTGGTGTGCTTCTGTCTCAGTCTGAGTAATGTCTAAAGATTAAATTATAAACCAAAATCCATCTCCTTTAGGAAACTGCATACATTTCTCTTCAAATGAAGAATTAAATAAATAAAGAAAAGAAAACAAAATCTCTCCCAAAATGCATAAAAACCCAAAGAAACTTTAAAAACTTGTCAAAACACAAAAAGAACCATTTTCCCACTACCTCAGACAAAGTAACTATAACACTGTCACCATATTCAACATTCAAAGACAGCCGACTCGCTGAGAAAAACTCAAAAAGAACTGACAGAATATGTAAACAGAGGAAAGAAGAACTGTAAAAGAAGTTAAAAAAGGTTGTACCTGATGGAAAACTCCTGTCAAGCAATGAGAGGGGAAGTCGAGCTGCAATGTTTTTAACAATAAAACTCAGTCACCCACACACACACACACACAGGGCTTTAGAGGCGGGCCGATTGTGAAATGAGTAACAGCTGCTAGCAATTGGTCAGCTCCCCTGCCCCCTCCCCCAAAGGAAGACATAAAATGCAAGGGAGGAGAGATTAAGAAAGATGGTTACAGAGCTTGGTGATCACTGACAACAGCAAACAAAACAAAGTCAGCTGACGTTCAAAGACAGATCCTGGAATGTGCAAACATGGGCATTCAGGCATCAAGATGCATGCACCAGTGCAAAAACTACCCAAAAAACAACATGCAGTGACATGCTGATGTTCAAAGAGCCTGATAGAGCTTGGTCACAACTTCTAGCTGCCTCATTTACATACAAAGCAGTTATCAATACAGTCTCACAGCCGCCCCTCAGGGGTCACAAGACTGATTCTGAGGTAAATACTGTAGGTTGCATGCAACTTTTGGTTAGCATGAAGCTGCAGAAAATAAATGCAGTGCAAAATGGGAAACACCATATGAGGGTACAGGAGTGTGGGACTTTCCTGCAAATGGATGTGACTCAGATTGAAATTTACATAAGCAGACAATTGTATACAAAGTAACTTACAAATGGCAAAACTGAGACGATTTGAACTGGGGAGAAAACAACGTAAGAATGGTACAGCTCTAAAGCTGAAGTGAAAGTGGTTAGTTGAGAAAATACCTGTGAAGTTTTTTTTTTTTTTTTTTTTACCAAAGTTTGGTGTCAGTAAGATTTTTTAAAATTATTTTATTTTATAAGTTGATAAAGTGATAGTAAAGATATTTAGAATTTTTCTTATGAACTCTTATTAAAAAATATTAAGCAGCACAACGGTTTACAACATTGATAATATGTTTTTCTTGATCACCGAATAAGCATATTAGAATGGTTTTTGAAGAATAAAAAAATAAAGGAAAGAGCATATTTTATGTCCCATAACTGGTCACCAAAACGTTCTTTTTTTCACATTCACTTGATCATTGTAGCCCTCAAACCGTATTCACTTTATAGCCCTTAATCCTGTAATTGTGGACAAATGTGGGCACAGAGGACTCAGGTGTGATCCTAATTTTTATTTATTATAAATGGTATATCACTGTCTTCTTTTTCAATGTAAATTATGCTTATTTTTATGTTTTATTTTTTAATTACATTAAAATATCATTCCAATAAGTTCTTAGAGCTAAAACCTAAAGATGAAGTGACTTTGCTGTCACCTGGTGTCTTATTTTGGCTTATTTTAGAATGCTCTAAATTACAGTTTTCCCATTCATTTCTATGGGTGCCCATTTTTGATCCAAATACAAGATTAAGGTATTATTATTTTTTTCCCACCCACTTAACATTGTAGAATTGAGTCAAAAAAAATTGTGTGTGTTCAGGAGGCAAACTTAGGAAAAGTAGCCAAGTCTTGTACCGCTCAGATCAAGGGAAGTATTTAAAAAAAAAAAAAAAAAAAAATCAAAACTATTTTTCCCACATTTTTCCAGAACATGGTTTTAGGGTTAAATAGTTGACAGTGTGTCGAATTAATTAAGTACAAATATTCCTGAACTTTCATAAGGTCATGAAACTGCATGCACATTATAAACAAGAAAAATGATGACTAATATTTGGTCAACTATCAGAAGTGCAGAACAGTAGAAAAAGGACTTAAATGTGCAATTAACTATTAGAATCAAGCTTTAAATGAAAAGAAAAGAGCTGGTTGAAAGTCAATTTCTGCAGGGGATAAACACCAAGCAAAAAGCACCAGATCTGAATGGTCAGGGAGTGGACTATGGAGAACGAGAGCGATTATGTAATTGTTGGCAATCGCCAGAGGGAGGAGAAGAAAAAAAAAAAAAGTCAAAACAAAAACTAATTTTCAAGATTTATTTTCATACTGACAAGATTCATTACTTCACCGTACAAAAAAAAAAAAACAGCTATTAAACTCAGCATAGTAAAATACAGCATGCGTGTAAAGGAATCAAATTAAAAGCTACATTTAATTTATTTTAAAACTCAGACATGCAAAAACAAACATTTTAAAAACACAAAGAGGGAGAGTAGTTTAAACGTGAAATGATCCAGACATTAATTAAGATAATAAAAGTAGTGTTTTTTTTTTCAGTCCACAGTTACAAAAGGCCAGGAAAATGGCGACCGGCGCTTGGCTATTAAACACTACACACAAAAGAATGGTTCATTGGCATGAGTGGGACTAACACGCACTGGCCATGCCAACCACGCTGCCATTCAAAGAGCAGAAAGTCAGCCAAGGACCTGCATCTGCTGCTAATCTGCTTCTGACCTTTACCAAACGCATCTGAAACATTCTCAGAATGTTTTAATGCTTTGAACCTCACACAAGGGTTCGAATAAATTGCATCCAAATGACTTTGGATGCACACATACATTTAAGTGTGATGTCAACAATTATGCCACAGAGACATCTCAGTATTTACGCTTGAGCCACATGACAGAGCCTCCTGTATTGTGCAATGGTTCTGCAGTTTAAGCTTACTCTGGCATTCCCTCTGTCCTCAAATGAGACACCTGATCCACTCATTAGAGAACAGGAATGAGGCACTTTTCAGTCTGACCTTTTCCATGTGGTTCCGTTGACTAAACAGCTCTCAAATCAGTAAGAATCTGATATAAAAAGCCATCAAACAATGGTGCAAGAAAGCATTGTCTAACATTGGACAGGAAGTTACATGTAGCACATGTAGTTCAACTTTTGAGAAGCAATTTAACTCGCATAAATCAACTTCTCTGACAAGGGTTGTGTTTTGTAGATAATAATAGTTAATAGATAATAATAGCTAATAATAGTCCAAACAATCAATGATTTATTTACTGGCTCTAAATGATTTAGATAAGCAGCTTCTAACAAAACAAAATGGAAGGGAACTTGTAGAAAGAGACAATGGAGACTGCACCACCCCCCAAATTGCTACCACAACTTCTGCTCCGAGTTCCTCTTTTGGGTTGACCGTTTAATATTGCAGAGAGAGAATGTGATGGGAGGATTGGCATTTAGTTGTGCTTGAAACCACAGAATGAATCACAGGCATGCTATGTCTCCCCCGGCTCAAAGTAATTTCACCAAGAGAGAAGTGTTCCGGGATCAACATTACATTACATTAGTGGAGGAACAACAACAACAAGTCAATCAGAACAACAAAATCATTTCCTGGATTTCCACGACTATGTTGATTCAGGAACATCCTTCTTGGCAAACCACAGTCATCTTGTTCCATGACCCAGCTCTGCTTTCCCAAATTATACTCTTAACTTTCTATCTACCCAACTTTCTACATCCATCTCAACTCAACCTCATCTAGGTCTCTCACTTCAGTACTGTATGTGCAAAATGACTGCACATTTATGTCCCGTGAGAGCCGCTAAATCTCCTGTCAGTCCCTATCAATCTAAAGTGACACTCCATACTTATCTTTTCCACTTACTGCATTACTGTCAACAAACCTTTGAAAATCTCTATCGCCTAGCTGTGCTGCCATCATTCACTGACATCCCAACCAGAACTGGGCTTCACTGAGGGCTCTGTGCAAGCATGTTTGGGTGTCCTGGGGGCTTCTGGGAAATCTCCTGTAATTTAGAGATAGCCGTGTTAGGGGGATCGGGACAAGAGGCATATGTATGCAACACACAAAAGGCAGGGGAGTGGGGTCGGGGGTAGGTCTCTCCTCATTAGTGTGAAGGGTTAACTTCTCTGCTCAATATCAAAGCCTTTGCTCTTCCCACTTCTCCTGTCCACTGTAATCTCCACCCATTCTAGCGCTGGAGAGAGACGGGAAGAGGGTATGAAGTTACAGAAACATCTGGAACAGTTTACTGTGAATGCCTTTGTGCCCAGCAAAAGGAGCTTTTCCACTTCTTGGGTAATCTCACAAATGCATGCAGATTTTACCCTCAAATCAAAATAATAAATGCTAGAAAAGCTCATTTTTAGGACCATTTCCATTGCCACAATGTGAGTCGTCATTATTGTGTTACTTTTTAGGGTTCCATCAGATTTCCATTTTTACTATATTATTATAAAATGACTATAATACAAGCATAAATTAAAGTTATACAAATATCATGTTGTATAAATACTTTAAAACGTAAATAATATATTATTGCTTTGAAACAGTTTTTTTTTTTTTGCTTAATGAGCCAATTTTTTTATGAAAATAAAGAAATTTGTCAGTTATATATTTTGATTCTGAGGAGAAATATGCATGAGTTTATGAGGTGAGGTTTTGTATGATTCAACAACATAACAGATCTAAACTCTAGTGCGAAAATGTTTTTTTGTTAATTTGTCTGGCTGTGTGAAACCAGTGGCTGAAAGGAATCTGTAATTTGGTCACATCCGTGCAAGAAAAGCCTCTCCTGGAATCTCGGAGAAGATTAAATTCCTCTTATTTCTTGTATTGTTCCCATGGGAATGCCAAAGGCAAGCCTTTCTGGATGAGAAATCTGGTGGAACCAAAATGTCCACCTAGAATCCATCAGTTCTTCCAAACAAGCAAAATAAAATAAAAAATAAAGACAGGTGGACGTTTCTTTGTGCAAAAGGACGGTATAACAGAATGGACGGGTTATGGTGGTGGGAGGGGGTCAATGCCCTAACTTGTCGATCATTTCCCTAACAGTTGTTTTCTCTGCTGTTCCAACAAAGATTCAAGATGATCTGCTCTCTTCACCGCAGCCTAAAAGACAAAGGAAAAGACAAGTTAGTTGTGAATCAAAATGTATGCACAACAAGCATTGCATTAAATGCAAGGAACATATATTGAATCAAATGTGTTGCGACATACCTCATGCTGCTTCCGCAAGTTATTAACAGTCTCTTCCTTCTTCAAAATCGCTGACTTTACTCTATTAAAGGAAGAGAGAACCATTTTTATTGTGGATGAGACCAGACCCTTAACTCAAACATAGTAAAACAGCTCATCTGCAGGTTTAAAGCTAATCATATCAACGACGAGGCACTAAAGGAAAAATAGTCTTTGCCTCTTACCTCTGATGGACTTCTGCAAGCTCCTCTTCTTTCTCTCTGCTCACTCGCTCCACCTCTAAGCGGAGTCGTGCTTTGGCTTCAGAGATTTCCATCTTCATCCTCCTATTCTCTTCCTCTGTTTCTACGAGGCGCTCGGCAAACTCTTGTCTGATCACTTCTGCAAGGCTGCGGCGCTCATCCGACAACTTATCACGAGCCTATAGACATTTCATGAAAAGGGAAAGTGGCAAAGCATGAGGACAATAGCTGATCGAACGAAAACCCAGCTAAACAAAACACAATATAGCACTTACTGATTCTTAGAATTCCAAGATATTTAATTCCAAAATAAATCAATATTTATAAGTATTAAAATAGGCTTGATTTATTTTATGAAATTATAATAATGCTGGGGTCAAATATGACTCGGCAATTCTATATAATTCTCCGCAGTAGTTAAAGAGTGAATCAACTGGCCTTGTGCGTCATAAGCAAACTCTGTTCTAAACACAATTGGTAATCTATTTCAGCCGTTTCACACACGTGGATTTACAGTCAGGTGTAACATTAACTAGAGTGTCAAAAGTCATCCAGTTTATCACACTTTAAGAGAAACAAGTACCCTAGCTTTTTACCTGAATGACTCAATCCGTCTGAGGACTAAACTCAAGTTATTATTTCTATAAAGCCCGACTGAATTTGAAACTTTAGGTGCGCTCTCGAGTTCGATTGATGTCAGGGTTTGGTTTGGATGATGCGAGCGCTGTTTTCCGAACTTGGGTGCACAACTGCGAACAATACCAAAGTCTGCATAAAAAGGTTGGCTTGGGGTATGGTTCATGTGATCTCCGTTAGGGTTTGCAGCTGATATGAACACAATCATACTAAATCGTAGAAGTAAACTGCTATTGATGACATATGATTCAATAAAACTGTGCTCGCCTTTAGCAGAAATGGACTCCTATGTTCTTTAGATCATTTGCAGGACATGCACCACAGGTTCAAAAACCGAAATATAAAAGTGGTGGGCAACACTCGCTAAACTCAAGTTTGGACCAGGCAATCGAACCAAGTGTGAAAGCACCCTTAAATCTGTCTGAATGTTTATGTGAAAAAGGAATCCTATTGATTCCCATCTCTACAAAGAGTACACAGTGGGGTCTGTAGATTTATAAGTCACCATTTTACTTTACAGAGCGAGCAGCAACAAGGAAGTGTCCCTGTGATGGCTGTTACCTGGGTGAGGTCGCTTATCTCTTGCTCTCGTTGTCGTAACAGTGACTGGAGTCGAAGGAGCTCAGCCTCCATCTCACTGTGTTTCTCTCTCATTTCTTGCTGTTTCTGCAGTGCAGTCCGCTCAGAACGCTCCAGATCTCTGATCTCGGCCTCGTATTTCTCCCTCACGCGCTTTATCCTGCACACATCATACACATTTACATTCAGGTTGTGAAAACCACAGTTCTTCTGCCATATATGTTAAATGGATGGGCTTTTGTGACTTAAATGTAAATGGCCTCCTATCCTAAATTCAAACTATCCAGGAAGAGCTTAAATATGTGGACCACAAGCGTATTCTTTTATTCAAAAACCTGGTAGAAACACACACACACACACACACACACACACACACAAAAAAACAGCATATGAGCTGAATGTAAATGTTTTTTCAAATTTGAATTACACACAATGGGTCTCATTCATGAAACATTCATAAATATACGAGTAAATATGAGAGTGATTTGCACGTACGTAAAGAGAACTTCCCGAAAACTCTTCTCCTGATTCACAAATACTTCGTAAATGTCAGATGTGATGGTGAAATGTGTGTGTGTGTGTGTTAATGAATTCCAACCAGTCGTAAATGGGATGCAAGATTTCTCGGATGCAGAAATTGAAGTTTTATTATCACAAGTTCATTCAAAACTCCACATTTTATTTTCAAGCGTACATAGAGGCGCATCAGGTTCAAAAAAAGGAAGCTTGACAGCAAAAAACGAATTAGTTCACTTCGGAAAAATCATATTCAAACTGGAGAAGGACCGCCATCGATCACCAGATCTGCTATTACTGGCTCTCATAATAAAAGAAAAAAGAAAAAACGTATGTAGGCTAATTACTATATAAAATATTTTTTTTTTCAAAATGCTGTTTAAATATGTACCCATTGGTGAATTAAAATGCAGCCTTATTAATGAGCAAAACGTTCGGATGTTAAGCGCACCATTTACGCGTGGCTGGGAGCAGTAAATTTCTTGCGTACCAACTAACATTTGGAAAATACGAACATTTTAATGAATCCGAAAATTTACTCTAGAACCACTTTACACACAAATTCGTTCTGCTCGTGTTTCATGAATGAGACCCACTGTGTGAGGGAGAAATACGAGGCAGAGATCACATACACACACATACATACATGTGTATATATATATATATATATATATATATATATATATAAAGAGAGACAGGTTTTTTTTTATTATGTATTTTCTTTTCTATAATTAAAACTGAAGATGAACAATGTAGCCGCACTAGTCTACAAGCAAACAGGTCAGCAGGGAAATTTGTAGCACATACCACAAGCCTAACCACCAGTGGAAATAAACTGATGTAGAATTGCATTGCATGTGGACAAAACTGTAACATCCTGTGCTATCTAAGTCTCCACAGACACAGGTTCACATAAACAGGAAGGTGGAAACAGACCTGTTGTCAGCTGCTCTCTCACACTCCTCTCTTGCCCCCCTGGTCTCCTCCTCTAGTCTCTGAATGGCCAGCTCAATCTCTTTGTCTCTTCCTCGACGCACTTCCTCTTTAAGCTCCCTCTCTCTGCTCAGCAGCCACGCTTCCTGTGAGAGGAAACACCATGTTTTGAGAACACATTGGAGACTTTGTAACCTTACACACACACTTACAGTTGTAAAACTTAGCAAACTACTTCGTTATCACCTTTAATTTTTGGGAGAGGTGGATTATTACTAGCCCCGACCAGTCTAAATAGCCTATTAGTGGTACACAGAGGTTAGCAAATAAGGGCATTTGCATTTGCTATGAAATTCTGATTGGTTTAGAGCAAAACTTTATCCACAAAAGAGTTGGGAATCTGTCATTTTCTTAAATATTATTGAAAGAAGTTGCTCAGAAGTTATTTGAAAAAAATATATTTCATTTTTACCATTTAAAATAACTGTTTTATTTAATATTTTCAAATATAATTTATTAAAAATTTGATGTGTCATTACTTCAGTGTCACATGATCTTTCAGAAATCATTCTAATATGCGGATTTGGCAATCCCGGAGCATTTATTATTTACAATTGTGCTGCGTAATATTTTGTGGATACATATTTTTCAGGATTATTTGATGAACAGAACAAGTTAAGAACAAAAAATAGAACAGCATTTGTGTGAAAAAGAAATATTTTGTAACAATAAATGTCTTTACTGTCACTTTTGATCAGTTGAAAGCATCCTTGCTGAATAAAAGTATAATTTCCCAAAAAATATTATACTGCCCTCAAATTTTTGAAACGTTGTGAAAAATGAATCCTACAAAATTATTAGCATTGATGATAAAACTCAAAGACCAAAAAAAATCCTTACATGTTGAATAAAAATGAACTAAATGTAATCGTAACAACTGTTAGTGAGATGTAAATTTGAGAGTCTCAGAAAGCAGAAGATATTAGTGTGGACTCAATGATGTAATTTCACCTGACATTAATCATGAGAAAATGAAATTAAGAAGTAGATTAATTCTAAAGATATACATACAATTGCATCTTAATCTGTAAACATGTAAATAAGTATAGTACAAAATAAAATATATAAACTCAGTTCAAAACATGTATACATAAACACATACCTCTTTTTTCATGTAATTTTCTTCCCATGTCTGTTTCTCAATTTCAAGCCTTTCCTTCAGGGCTTTAACTTCAACCTAAAGAAAAATACAGACAAAAACACATTTAAAAGAACCAAAAGAATGAGACCTAAAATGCTTTTGCAACAAAAATGTGCTTTCTTGTGACTTCTTCAAACATTGCACCATCATATACAAGACAGGTACTTTAAATTCAGGTCTGAAAGTCTCAGGCAAAAAAAAAAAAAAAAAAAAAAAAACAGACTGAGGAATAATGTACAGAGGGCAGGAGATGTGTGCTGCACAGAATGACATCATTAATCAAAAGACATGTCCTGAGAACATTAAAACCACATTAATACTTGGAATCAATTCAAGAATACTGATATACTGCATTTTTTAGTTCATTGTTCTAACATTTTTGTTAATACTACTCACAAGAAAGTATGAGATTGTAAGACTGGAAGAACTGGTTGAAGAGATCAGCCTCACCCCAGGTCTATGAGACGAAGGACACTGCTCTCTCTCACACACACACTCCTTCCCCGCACCCCCCACTCTTGCAGAGATCACCCAAACTCACTCAAGAATTTATATGGTTTTAATGTGAATGATTATCATTAAGGAAGGTGTTTAGTATCATTTTAAAGGCCTCGGTGCGAATGGTACAAGTGTTCTATTTCCAAATAAGTAAAACAAAAGCTAATAAGGTTTTTAAGGCTTTCTTAGGCTTTCTTTTATTTAAGGCTTTCTTTTGATTATTTTAATTTCTTCAATGTAAAGCACTTTGAATTGCCACTGTGTATGAAATGTGCTATATAAATAAACTTGCCTTGCCTTTAACTGGCACACAAAGGAATGTGGTTACTGGTGAACACAGTAAATTTCCACTGTAAACTCATGTTTTACATATCAAATGAGGTCTGGCTATATAAAGAAATAAACAGAGAGGAATAGGGCTTTTTCTGTATCAAATCAGCCCATGAATGCTGTGTCGCTGAGACTCGGCATTCATGTATCTCATAATGTCGGCTAAAAGTTTTCCTCTTTGTTCTATAACATTTGATGGTTTGTATTGATTATCTTTCAATTGATTATGAAATTGTAATAATACATTTACTGTACCTGACATAATAAATTGTTATATAAAATAAAGCCAAAGTCTGTTAATAGTCAAACATTCACATAGATTTAATGATGCACAGATATCATTGAAAAACCTTTTCATTTATGGAATCAGATGAAATAACGAGTTAATACATAAGATACAATGTATTGCATTCAATTAAATTAAATATCCCTTTGCCATGAGAGAAGACGGAACAACCCGTGAGACCTTCACCTCTAATCGAATACCGCCATTGGAACGATTTAGCAGGCCTTACAAGTTACACACAGCACTGCCAACTTATGCAATTAAACAATCTATAGACCATTTCACAAGATGTAAACAACACTGGTCCAGAAGCACTTCCTGTTTCAGTTTTTTAACACTACATAAAAGCTGGGATAAAATACAACCAACTAAACATTTAAAACTGAATCAAAAAGTTAAACAAACATCTTTAAGATGTTTTCTTTACATGTGAAATAAAGAAAACAGTTATAAACTGAAACAGGAAGTGCTTCTGGACCAGTGTTGTTTACATCTTGTGAAATGGTCTATATGCAACTATATAGTCAAATCACTTAAGTTATTATTTCTATTTATGTCGAAAGGGTTTTAAGCAGTAATTCATATGATTAAATATTAAATGATTAAAGCTGTTAAATATTTCAAACACTGAGCTACCAGATAAAACCAAGCAAATTAGGAAAACTAAGTAGATTCATTATATACACGAATAGGCATATTTTAGCCCACTACATAGATTAAAATACGCTACTTAAGAACAACGGCGTGATTGCTGGACAAAGCATATGGCTTGTTGCAGCATCTGCTGTTATAATTTCTGATTGCTAAACATCTCCATTTGTGTTCGATGCAAGAAAGAAGAGGCAGAGTCAAATGATGGAAGAATGCTTTACTTGAATACATAACAGTTCGTGTGGACTAACATGATTCGATGCGAGTGTTACCTGGTGACGTCTCTCCTGCTCATCTCTGCTCTTCTCCAGTTCTTCTCTTAATGCTCTTCCTGCCAATGAGCTGTTGTCTTCCAACTGCTTCCTTAAGTCTTCCAGCTCAGTATGCTGCCTAGATCACACACAAACACATTTAGTTTTAACTTGAATGTTTCATCTCGTCCCTCTCTTTTGGAAAAAAAAAAAAAAAGGTAATACTTTAGCCTTTATTTATAATGCATTATAAAAGGTATTCATAATATACAATATATAAAGGCCTATAATGACCTGGCTGCCAGCTGTGTGATTCGCTCTTTCTCCTCTGACACTTCCTTATACAGACGCCTCCTCTGCTGCTGCAGCGCGTTCTCCTCTTCCTGCAGCTGTTTCTCAAACCTGAGACACAAACACACATTCATTTACTTAATTGTGTTCTCAAAATTCAATGCATGTTTGTTCTAAGGATCTGAGGGATGAATCTGCAGCCTTTGTGAGAATAACATGTAATTATGTAATCAATTAAAAGTAACTTTAATCTGATTATAAGTATTTTAAAAATGTAATATAATCTAATTGTGAGTATGCATATATCATGTATATATGTTTAATCGAATAAACCCTAATCCTTACCAACCCCAAACTTTTGAGCGCTATCCAAAACTCTATTTCAGTCTGATCTTCCCATAAAGCTATCATTTGGCTTCAGCATCATATGGGCCACTGTGCTTTTATTGTATTTATATATCTTTTAAGGAGCTTGACAGATGTGGTAAATATTAGTTTATTGTAGAGAAAAAGCTGCATGAGGAGTGTCTGACAGAAGTTTGTGTGTGAAATAAAATGTTTGTAGGTAAAAAAAAAAAGAGATAAGGCCTTTGACATGTCCTACTTCAACATCCTGTTTTAACAGGAAATACATAAACACAAGAAGGAAAACTAAAACTTCAAAGAACAGCAGGGTTAGACTGAAATAATTAGCTTTATATAAAAACGGCAAACTTATAACTAAGGGTGTGTGTGTGTGTGTGTGTGTTCAAAAGCTGTATTTATATTTGAGATCATGTCTAGCCAGTTTCCTACTTTCCAAGGAACCAGTCGCACTATCCAAGCCAGTTTGATTGTTTTAGTGTTTTAGTGTTTAGTGTTTAGTGTCTAACTTCCGTGAACACATTTTCTTGGCTGCCCATCCCAGTTACTGGTTGATTGATGTCGAATGGACACATCTGAGCGTGTACCTTTGCTTAGCCAGTTCTCTCTCTCTCTGGCACTGTTCATCTCTTTCTCTCTCCAACTGCTGCCGTAACTCCTCGCTCTGCCTGACGTAGCGCTGAGCGGCCCTCTCGTCTGCCTGAAGCAGCTCTGCCTCGTGAAGGACTCTCAGTTTCTTCAGCTCCTGCTTGTGTTTGGAGATCAGCTTCTGAATCTCTGGCTCCAGACCTGGAAGAAACAGTCATCAAACATTGTAAAAAGAGCTAACGTAAACATGTGCGGTATAGCATTAAAATAATCATGGGATTTCGAAGAGAAAAATAATAAAACATCACACTATTTACTGATGCAATGTTTGAATTACAACGCGTTTCAAAAGCCTTCATTAAAAATCTGGGATTTATGGTGTCACGTTACTTTTCAGTTAAAAGTTTAACTCAAATTGTGTACTCAACTTGCGGAAAGGTAATACATTCAGTGTGTGTGTGTGTGTGTGTGTGTGTCAGATCAGGGATAAGCAGTTTGACCAGTTAAAAACCAGTTAGCTCTGTCTTTAATACAGGTTACGCTGTTTAACAAAGGATTATAAAACGTGAATAAATTTCATAGGTGTGTGACACATCAGCCACCTTACTTATGTCTTTAGGGCACAGAGACCAATCCTAAACATGCGACACATTTTGGCAGAAACATGCAGACTGGACTGAAATGGATACTGTTGAAGCATCTGGTGATGTGGCACTAATACAGACAGACACTTGTTGTCGAACTCTGCTGACCTTTCACCGTGATCTCCTTGATCTTTTTGGTCTTCTCATCGATCCATTTCTCCCGTCGGATCTTTTCTGTGGCACTCATTAACTCTTTTAGCTTCTTAATCTCCTGTGTGGAGGAAGAGAGGGATAGAAGGATTGGTTAAACAGAAAGAGAAAACATCACCAGCACCAGAAAGAGCGCAAATGAATGGGAAAGACGACAACATCTTGAGACTTGAGATTAACTCCCACCAAGCCAGTCACGATGGAAATAAAAGACTGCAGGCTTATTGCGATAACTACGATGATCTGTAGGCAGCCCAAAAAGATGTGCTTTGAGGCGTTTCCCTTTTATCGAGTCTTCAGCAATACTTGATTTTCAATCAAATAACACCAAAGCCTGTCATTTTCTTCTTACTGACCCCACACTTTTGAACAGTAGTGTAGATCTAAATATATATTGTCATACACAGAACATCCTGACATCCACTTCAGCCCTGCACTTATAAAAGTTCATGAGAGAAGTGGTGATGACTGATTGAACTAGATCAATTGAGTGAATAAAAAGATCCACAAAGAATATTTAGCACATGAATCAGACATCACTTCTCTCATTGATGTGCCAAGGTGACCATAGCCGATGTTTGAAGATTTCAGTGTATTACATCTTAAGAATGTTTCGTTTTCTCACCCAACGCTATCGTATGACTTCAGAAGTCTTGAAATATCGCCATTTGGATCACTTTTATGATGCTTTTGTCTTTTTAGAAGCTCCATTCCAAATTCACCGTAACGCATTAAAGAGAGCGACCAGCACATTCTCATAATTTCTTCTTTTAGTGCAAGTTTGGAACTGCATGACAGTGAGTAATTGATAACATAGAATACTCATTTATTGGATGAGAACTAAAATGATAACTATGGGGATGTGCTTGCATTTAAAAAGAAACTAAACAACTGATGTCACTGAATAGGTTTATACATCAACCATTGCATAGCTGGCTAGTTGCAAACACCGCTTAAACCAGTCGTAAATGTAAATAAACAGAGTTTTCATAACTTCGTAATGGTCATAACTTCATAAAGTCCTTTGCATTGGCCTAATTTGAATCTGATTTAAATAAGACAGATTACCCTTGGCCTTGGCTAACTGCCAGTCAAAACTGATGTTACAGTTTTTATAATGTTATAATTTGTTCTGTGCATCTTTCAATGTTGGAGATTCACTAGAGCAATCAATGGAACAGAATGATGAATAATGAATGAATGGAACATGAAAATAAAAGTATTACACTGCTGTAAATAATTGATTACAGTTGACATTACATATTTATTTTATCTTTTTTTTTCTTTTTGGCTATTTCTGTACTTTGTTTGTGAATGCATGACAGATCAATATAACAAGTGCCAAAGGAATGGAAACCCTAAAATACACTGATGGTATCACACACCAAATTAGCATACTGAATCGAAACTCATCTTATTCTCAGTGACTTCACCGTGATGTGTTTAATACAGACTGAAAGCAAGACACATTGCAGAAGAATATGCCAATGGCAAAGCATAATTTAGCGTTTTTTTTATACAAAATCAAAACTGAAAAGCCTAAAATGATAGTATGATTGCTGCCTTACAAGATCTGCTGGTTCCTTGAAGATTAAAAAAAGATTGCAAGGTTAATGGCCCCAAGCAAAATAAAGCTGTCTCTGTAAGTCAGCGTTAGGAGAGGAATGGAGAATGCCAGAACAATGAAGTGATGAGGGGTTAGAGAGAAAAACAAGAGTTACCTCACACATGGGACCCAGAATTTGCCACACCTACAGGCAGACGGAAGGACAGATAAAGAGAGAAACGCACAACAAATGCAGAAAGAGAAACAGTTAGAAGTGGCAAAAGCAACACAGCAAGCGAACATGCATTTGATGGTGTGCAAGAGTTAATACAAACATACTCAAGATTGTGTGCAGAAACACAGCTAACGAGAGCAGCAGAGACAACCACAAACCACAGTTAATATACTGTAAGGAATGTAGAAATCAGCACAGGTTTGGGACTGAGGCACTACAAGATGTACAATACACTTAAACGGACATTGTGGCCAAAGCTGATGCAAAAACTGCTCAGACCCTGAGGCACCTCCTCTGCAGCAGGTCCTGTTAGGATCACTGCACCACTTCATTAAAACTCACCAGCTCATGTTGCTCCTGCATCTGAGCGATCTTCTTAGTGTATTTCTCGTCCACCTGCTTGAGTTCTCCAACTACTTCCTCACACTTTTCGCTTAGGGCCTTTTTATCATCAATCAGCTGAGAGAGAGAGAGAGAGAGAGACATTAATACAAGCACAACCTCATCTAGCAGTAAGACTAGAATGCCACAATATTTCAACGTTAATTGATTTTATTTGAAAAATAACTAAAACAGGGATATTTTATAAAACAGACATTTTATTACTATTTAAAATTAACTAAAAACTATTAGTGATGATAAAGTCATTTTTTCAGCATTACTGTCAGATGATCCTTCAGAAATCATTGTAATGATCAATCATGCTGATTTGCTGTTTAAGAAACATTTCTTATTATCAATGTGGATCGGTTGTGCTGCTTGATAGTTTTTGGAAACTGGTCGATTTTTTTCAGGATTCTTTGATGAACAGCTCCGATCTTTCGTGACTTAACTATAATTTCTGATCAATTGAATGCATTCTTGTCGAATAAAAGTATTCATTTCTTTTTTCTTTCTTTTTTTAAAGACCCGTATATACATTATAATTTTGCAATTGCATATAACTTACCATTTTTTATATTACATTAATATTTGTGCATAATTTTCATTAATGAAACTTACATTTCTTTATGCAAGAATGTATTGTGTACATCCACCCTATTTTAAGACTATTTTAAGCCTATGTTAATACTCTGTTTTTTTTTTAAATTATGACATTATGTTCATGACAACTAAGCAACTGTTTCCTCCAGAACCCTGCTTCTAATATAATCTGTCCAAAATGTTGTTTTGCTTGTTTTTACCACTATTCTCAATGATGATTTTTATTACTGTAATACAATGATTAAATTAGGGAATTAGGGATTATTGATGAAAGTTGCTGAACAGATATTGTCTTGCGTTTAAGATTAATACCTGGTCTATAAACGTCAGGTGTCTCTGTATCGTAGCTTCATACTGCTGTTTCTGTAACTGCAACGTATGATTGAGCTCTTTCTCTGTCTCCTTCACATGCCGGATCGTCAGCTCCCTCTGCTGGGCCTAAAGACACACATTCATATTTACAAATTAGTCTCAGGCAGCACTATTCACAGATCTGCGGTTGCATATTTTACGTAAACACAGGTAAAAGTCATCTGAGGTTGTGCAGAGTATTCTGAAACATACAGATAATAATATATGCATATATGTGTGAGTTTTCTTTTACCAGCGCTGTTTGTAGCATATTGACGGTGCGTTTTTTCTCATCCAGCTCCAGTTTGAGTCTCATCATAGAGCCGGTGACCTCAGCAGCTGTGGCTGAGGCTTGTTCCACAACTGCTAGATCTTCCTCAGACAACACCACCTGAACACACACACACACACACACAAATGTAAAATTCAGTGCTGATATAACATAAAACTTAATAACTTCATATAGTTAGTTCAAATGTTCACCTCTCTATGTGATCCAGAGGTGACCGAGCGTGGTCTTTCCTGCTCTGACTTCTCCATCTCATCCAGGAAGCTCATAATGGTCTGCAGTTTAGCTTCTGAAAGCAGAGCGCCCCCATCTGGAAGGACTGGAGTCTGACTAAGCTGCCTGTGCCGTTCCACGTTATCAGTTGTCAGGGAGTTGGAATCTCCATCCTAGGAAGAAAATGTATGTGTAGATTAGCCAATCATAAAAAGGTCATTTACACTGCTGTTCAAAAGTTTGAGGTCAATTCGATTTTTTTTTTAAAGAAATACAATTTTATTTAGCAAGGATGCCTTAAAGGATTAGTTCACTTTAAAATGAAAATTAGCCCATGATTTACTCACCCTCAAGCCATCCTAGGTTTATATGACTTTATTCTTTCAGACATATTATCAAAATATCCTGGCTCTTCCCAGTTTTATAATGGCAGTGGATTGCAACCGACAGATTGAAGCTCAAAAACGTACATTCAGCTTTGCCAAAGGAATGAGTCATATTTCAATATATTTCGTAATATTTCACAATACTGTTATACTGTATTTTTGAACAAATAAATGCAGCATTAGTGAGCATAAGAAACTTCCTACAAAAACATTAAAGATAAACCTTACCAAACCCAAACTTTTGAACAATAGTGTATACAGAACTGAAGAGTCTCAATTCACCTTGTCAATCCACGCATACTTGTCCTTCCTGTAGCTCTTGGCCTCTGACAGTCTCTCTGGCTCCTCTTCTAAGAGCTTTAATGTGTCTAGCAGGTCATTCAGAGTGGTTTTTGACTGCGTCCTACTCGATGACGCACCCTGCCGCTGGTCCTCCATGCTCACAGACCTCTGGAGGATCTCCTTAGGGCATGAAGCAATGTGATGAGCAAAAGCTTAAATTTTTTTTCACAGCTTGTGAAAATAAGGCATAGAAGTTAAGTTTACAATAAGTTTGTTGTAAGTGGTTACCTGTGAACACTGAGATCCTCTGCACACAGAACCAACAGGTGACGCGGCCCTCAAATTCGTCACATCATCCAGATCAGGCACCATATTTACATTAGAATCTAAAAAAAGACATGCCATGACTGTGTGACCTCAATATTTTTTTCATGAAATTCACCCACAAAGTATAAAAGGACACAGAATAAGGTAGAGGAAATCGAGTGTGAGGCCATCCTTAAAAATATTTTGGTTTGCAGTAACAGCAATTTTTTTTTTAAAAAGGGTCGGTAGGTAGGTCTATATTTTTTTTTTCCAGGATTCAGTGCAAAAAAAAAAAGTAAAATTTTGGTCATGGTGATCATGAATTTTTTTTTTTTTTTTAATTGCATACTGTGACGTCACTGACTGGGTCTTCAAACTGTGCATCCACCACTAGGTGTTATTGCAACCTACAACCGGTTACGTTTTTAGGCCAGTCACAAAATGAATAAATATCTACTGTATTTGTTATGCAGCAGTGTTCAGGCTTTTTTTTCCCCAAATACATGAGATATAAGCAAAAACAAGTACAAACACATGGTGAAACAAAGAATACAATTAAACAAAGATACAAATTAGCCTATATACACAGTGCTTTAATTTCAGAAAGGTCTAAAATTAGCTACTTTTCAGTTAAGTGTGTTGCGCTGTCTGAAAATAAATTTAATTTAGTAAATCAAATGTAAAATGACACTGCATGGTTTATCATAGTTAGATTAATGCTTATTAAAGTTTAAGTTAATAATTCAAGAGCTGCGAGTGATTTTTCTCTGCCTTTTGTTGTGTTTGATTCCCATTACTGGCTCAATCGTCACATGTTTATTAGACTACTGCCCCTTTAAGACCGAGTGCGGATCTAACCAACCACTTTTTAATCATGCGTCGAATTCGTACGAATTGGTCGTGAGATAGTGTTGATCTAACAGATGACTGATGCACCACCATATCCTCCCAACTATTCACATCCATTTAAGACATAAACTGTGTTTAAATGAATCTCAGAGCAGGTCATTTTAGATTTTATGTATATTTGATAGTTTAGCTGCGCACATGAAGCCCAAAATGAGGCTATAGCCTACTTTTCTTGTCCCGTTGCAGTGCATTTCGGAGCACGCATCACCTTGTGAACAGCGTCTCTTGCGCAGACTTTTGTGCTTTTAATAGCTCTTTTAATGATTGAACCCGTACGCAGTTTAGCAACAGTACAGACTGCATTTTACAACAATTACCGATCGTGCTGATTCTGACGGTACGTTTGGGTTTTAGGAAGAAATGACAGCGCAACGCTGTGAAGGGAAGGAAGTTGCGCTAGACAGAATGCGTCTGTAATGGTTTCATCTCAAATATCTTTTTATAATCTTTGAAAGCGGAAATCTAAAATACAATTAGAATAATATCCCAGATCTAAAGTGTAGGTAACCACGTTCTGTCCTCATTGTCACTCATTAAGCAGGGCTGTCATGTTGTTCGCGCTGTGGCTCCGGGTGAGAGATCGCTCTCTCTCTTCTGGACTGGGAATAGCAAAATTGCATCAGACAAATTGTTTAATATTATTCTTATATATAGAAATGGTTGATATTCAGCCCATTTAATACCGGGTTTACCAAGCGGGAACACTGAATGAAACGAAGCGAACGTATAAGCCTTATAGACAGTGTGACACGGGTAAACCAATCGTGTAAACATAATCAGATGACTATGACGCCACGGGTTTTTATTTAAAAGAATGAACGTAGCCTACGTTTGTAGACATAAGCAACTTTCACAATACTAACTAAAATATCATTTTATGGAATTTGAATTAGTCGTTTGAAGATTAAAAAAAAAAAAAAAAAAAAAAAAAAAAAAAAAAAAAAAAAATCGGTCGGTCGGTCTGAACGCAAGTTACAACCGGCAAGTCGGTCGGACTAAAAGGGAAAAAAAATAAAAAATTGGGTCGGCCCTAAATTGACAGGGTCGGTCGGGTTACGGCAAACAAGAATATTTTTAAGGGTGGCCTGATCGGAGACCAAGAGTATTGCATACCTGTGTTCATAGCCTTGACATCAGTGGGAGAAGTGGGTGAACTCTTGGTGAGTTTTTTACGCCCAAATTTCCCAGCATGTCTTAGTGCCTCTATCTCCTCCTCTGCGATCTGTCGTACCTCTGCAGCACGTTGGGCTCTTTTCTGCTGAAGCTCCTGTTTAGATGCACAAATTATGCAATAATACGTCGTAACAATAATCACTGACTTAGCCAAAACAAAACTACAACAGCATTGCATACCTGTATGGCGGTATGCCGAGCCAGGCGAGCTTTCTCCTCCCTGATGCGTTTTCGATCATCTTCTTTCTTCTTCAATGTCTCAGTGGTTTTTTCCTCCTCTGCTCTCTGCTCCCTCTCCTAGGGAAAATACACAAAATTACCCAGAAGAATGGAGTGATACCATTGAAACCGGCTAGATACCATGCTAACGTCCAAACCTAAATAGCTAACTGTTCTCATGTCATGTACAGTTAAGGTCAAAATATAATATATAATATAATTCAAGGTATTATAGACCTTCTTGGGTGAAATACATTACCTTCTTTTTAGATGCGAGGAGGTGTTTGATTGTATTCTCATTGGCTCGCTTTCTGTTGGCATGCCGACGAAACCAACGCTGGATGATAATAGCAGCATGGTTCACTTGCTGAATATACCTGTAATTTTTTTTAATTGTGTTTAACCATGTACAAACAAAGGCCATTTTTGAAAAGTCTGAAATGTTTAAAGGCCAATCAAACATTTGCACGAAGATGATTACGTAAAAAAACAACTCAAGTGGAAACATATGAGGGCTGGAAAACAATGCTGACCTTTCGGCCTCCTCCTCGGTCACCTCTCGCCTGCGTGGCTGACCTGGGCTTCGGGGACTACGGGGGGCGTTGTTGTTGGAGCTCGATGACGCAGAAGAGAAATTCTTCTGAGACTTAGTAAGAGAACCACTCACATCCAGAGTCGAATCATCATTTACGGTGGCTTTGATTATGTTACTGTTAAAACAGAAAGGTAAATGTGTAAGCCTGGAAACAGCATACTCTAGCAGAAATAGAGCCTTATGTCTAAGATTAGATCACAGAGCTGTGCAATCATTTAACGGTCATAATGAACCTACTTGAAGGAGGGTTTCTGATTGGAGCTCTTGGGAGTGAGGGGTTTCTCTGAGTGGTTGTTATGGAGGATGGTGGTCACAGAGTTACCCACAGCTGCTTTATTGCTCCTGAAATTCAACACACAGACATCCTACATATTCAAATACATTTTTGCATAATAAAATATTTCATTATATTAGTATATATCAATATAATATGCTGTATATTGAAATAAGTATTTTTGAAAGTCTCTTATGCTCACCAAGGCTGCATTTACTTGATTAAAAACAGTTAAAGCTATGGCTGCATGATAAATTTAAATAAAACCGAAATAGCGATTTTGCTTAATTATCATATAATTATCAAATATTAATTAAATATATGTACTGTAAGACTGCGATCAGAGCGGCTCGATCGGTTCAGTAAATGCTGCTCTCTCTCTGAAAACGCAGAGAAATGTGCATTTGAAAAGCAAAATGCGCCCAACATTACGTTTTTACTCCAAACTCACTTCATAACGTCAGAAATAACTTGGAACTTGGATCTGAAGTGACTTCTTACCACAGATTGAGGCAGAGAAAATATTATGTTGTAGTATTCTATACTCCAATTAATGCTATTAAGTCGATTAGCACTGCATTATCATTATACTTTATTCTTATGAAAATACCTGATATGACTTGAACACAAATAAACCATGTTTACTGTCTTCATGTTTAAGAAGTCAAAGCGTTTCTAATTTTTATTTTAAATTCAGCTACCTACAGTGATAGCTGGATGCCTTTGTCCATATTAGGAATTTCCTGGAAGTTTTATTACTTTTCTGCGGTATATTTGGACTTTTTGCACAAGGGCGCCCTTCAACTTCCATTATCAATGAAACATCCATTGCATGTGTTTATAGCACTCTATAATGCTCATGCCACACTATTTTGGGCAAAAATAATACTTCACTCTAAAGAAATTTGAAGTGAACAAGATAATCTATATGTTTTTGTTCATGTAGTGAACAGAAAAGTTCCTTTTTAATGATTTATAGTAATAGGCCGCCTGCATGTTAACAGGATGCCCTGCAGTTTTTCATAAAAATATATGATACTAATATTATAGTTATAATTTTAATTATTATATTTATTCTCAAATGTATTGATGGATTTTTTATTTTTAATAATGAAATAGTAATAATTCTTATTTTTGTTAATATTTTTATTTAGTATTAACAATCATAATTATTATTAGTTCAAGCACAAAATTTGAGTTCCGCCCTTCAGAGTTCCGTCAATATTATGTTATTATAAATATATATCTAAAAAAATACATTTTTTGGAAAATCAATTTTTGACATTTGTGAATCGATTCAGAATCGTCCACGTCCGCATCCCGGTGCATCTAAGAATCGATTTTTCCCCCACCCCAATTTAATTGACAATCAGACAAAAAGGCATAAAGTTGTCATGGTAGCAGCAGAGATGGAAAGCTAACCATGAGGACAGTGCCTACGCTGTCGGAGAAAATGGCCTCCCACCTGTTGTTGGCAGTGAAGTTAGCAGCCAGAGAGATGCCAGCTTCCCTCTTCTTCAGCCCTGTAGGAGAATCCATACTGCAGGTACTGTGAGAGCTGCTGGGCACAGGGAACACTCTCTGCTGATCATCCTGAAAGTAAGACAGACCACATGACTTTTAATCTTGCCACTGTTTAAGGCCTTTTGACTTCTTACATTCTGTTATGGTACTTTTCATGGCATAACAATCAGAAGGGCTAGTTACCCTTTAAAAACGTTTAATAAGATCTGACAATCACACTGGCATGAGAAAGTAGCGGATGAGTCGGACATTACCAGGATGTTCCAAGTGGTACGGTCTTTGGACGTCTTGGAGAGGCCGGCCAGTTTTCTACGTCCATCAGAGCTGCTGTTGAACAGAGCCAGGAAGTCCTCTGTGTGGCCTTCACTGCAATCAGATGCAGATAGAGAGAGAGACAGGAAGGAAGGAAAGAAAGGTCAGAGTATTACACACCAAACACTCATGAGGAACATATAAACAAAACACTATACCAATAATACTGACACTTCCATTCAATTTTTTAAAAGAAGCCTATTTTAACCCTAACCAAGGCAGAATTTATTTGATCTAAAGTACAGTAAAAACAGTAATATTGTGAAACGTTCTAGAAACTAAAGCAACCACTTTCTATTTTAAAATATAATTCATTAAAAAGATACAGTATATGTAATATTGCCATTACTCCAGTGTCACATGATCCTTCAGAAATCATTCTAATATGCTGATCTGTTCCTGGAAAAACAAATATTTTGTGAAAACCTTTTTTTAACATTATAAATGTCTTTACTGTCACTTTTGATCAATTTAATGTGTCATTGCTGAATAAAAGTATTCATTTAATTCATACTGACCCCAAACTTTTGAACATATAGTCTAGTGGCAGGGTTCATCTCCAATAAAACCAACCAGACTATTAAAGCTAAACATATTTTAAAAATAAACGTTCCTTTTTCAGAGGCGACAACAGCTGCCCTGGGCTCCCAGAAGAGGTATGCTACAGCAGAGGGGCAGATGTCCATAAGCATATGGCAATCGCACCCCTTAACATTTAAATTGCATCAAATGTTTAACATGATGTTCACCCCTATGTTTGACCCACCGGCATCTGCGCTACCAACTTCAGTATGCATATGTGAGTGTTTTGGGGGTGTGAGGGGTGCCTAGCGTCAGCTGGTCCAATGGTAAGCAATTCAGGGAACTACATTCCTCCACATTTCCTCTTTTTAAGTGATTCAGAGGAAAGAGGGGTCACGGAATGACAGTTATTAAACACCAGAAGGAAGGGGGAAGGGGTAGTGGGACGTTCCTTCATTTAAACCCCTCTGTGGCATCCCAGGATGCAGTGGGAGGGGAGGGGAGGGCAGGACTGGCAGCTGCCGGACAAAAGAATTTCAGCATGCACACTTCTCCTTTCACTGCGTCCTCATTCGAGTGAAATCGGAGACCCCGGCTCCCCTCTTGACAAAGCTGAACCTGGCCCCCTCTTGCTTGTCTAGTGCCGCAGCCACCAGGCCACAAAAGCTATTGTCTGGGGAAAACCAAATTCACTCAAACCCCCAGCTGCTGCTGCTTTAAGGGTATAAAACCCCATCTCCACGTCTAGGAGGTGATCAACCAAGCATACCACAAGTTAGGTGAAGTGAGTGCATGAAGGCATGTGCACTAGACATGTACGTGCACAAACATGCCATCATTGCTTTAAAAAAAATCATACATGTTGAATAACCTCTCACTCATGTCCCTTGGGGATTATCCATTCTCAAGGTCTGAATAGGACAGCTGGCACATGTTGATGGGTAAATCTCACAAAACATGATCTTATTTCATCGCAAAATCAAAAGAAATCAATCAGAAATTATACGTTTCATAAAGACCATTTTAGGTCCCTTTAAGACCAAGGTTTTTTTTTTTTGTTTTTTTTTTGCATCGAGACAGCATTTTAATTATAATTAGTAATTAAAACAGATTTTCCTTATTTTCTTGAATTTTTTTTTTTTTTTTGCAAAAAAAAACAACACAGTATTAATAAAAATGTCTTAATACATCATTAATAATAATAATAATATATTATTATTTATAATATAATTATTTTAATTTATGGTGATAAAATCTCATTAGATTCAATCAATGTAGTATTTTTTAACAGTATAAAAGCATATATATATATTTAAACATATATATTTAAAAAGCAAACACTACATTTTTAAAAGCAACTCAGCATAGAAATACAAATTAAATACTAACTTAATATATAAGTATAGTTTTGTGCAATATCCTTTTTTCTTTTCTTTTTTTTTTTGCACTACAGTAATGCGAATTAAAAAGAAAATGTTTTATTGTAATGAAAATAATAATGTCACAAACAACCCTAAACCTAAAAGATCCTAAAAACAGGCTTAATTTTATTAAACGGGATTTAATTCTTTATTATTTTTTTTTTAGATTCATCAGCACCAGAAGAGTTAAATGGCATGCAAACGAATGACAGATGGTTCTGTACCTGGGGCTTGTGTTGGCCTGCTGGTTCACCTGTGTGGTGCTGTTAGACCGACGCAGGTTCTTAATTGCCCGTGAGCTTCCCAATCCAGCATCAGTCTGCCAACAAGGAGCGCAAAATAGTTTTAACACTGCGCCTGCTGCAAACTAGAACAGGTTTAACATGGAGCATCTCTCACTTTAAAGCAGCAGTTTTTACATCATCCCATTTGGTTACAAGACAACCAATGATGTTATTGATGTCCAAACTGCACAGTTATATTATATTACTTTCAGTCTGTTCTTACACATAAAGTTATCACATGGCTTTAGGCGATGCAGGAGTCACATGTATTAATTTACCTATATGGCACTTTTATACAATGTAAAAATCTATATGAAGGTGTATTAAAAAGTACATTTTTGTGTTCCACAAAAAATGTGATGGTGAGTAAAAAATGACAGAATTTTATCTTTTGGGTGAATTAATGCTGTACTTTAAAAAAAGAAAGAATGGTGATAATAAATATCCTTATTTTCAGTGGCCCAAATCTTAATAAATAAGTCAAATGGTGAAGACAAACACATGCATGACAGAAAAGTTGTCTTTATGACAAATGCAAGTGTCTAAGGGAAGATGGTGGCATAAAGAGTCCAATTGTCTGTTTTAATTTAATGGTTCTCAATAGTGACAATGAAAACATAATAATATTTAACTGACTCTGAATCACAGTTATGACCATCATTGTTTATTTGATTCCCCTTATACAAGGGACACCTTTACATCATTACACAGTTTTGTAGCCAAACACACTCACCAAAGTGTTTCGCTTCCCCCGGCCATCACTGGCCACAGACACAGATATGGATCGAGAGAAGTGTTTTCCAGGTGAAGCACTGCTGGGTCTGCGGCCCATTGTGAGCTGCGAGCCGGTCAGGCTGAGGTCCAGAACGTCTCCAGTTGCTCCCGTCTGGATGGATGCGGATGGACTGCGAGTCGTATGCATCTTAAAATTATGAGCATAAAAGAGGTCATTAAAAAAAGCAAGATTTAACCACAGGTAGTGCTGGATACTGTCAGGATTCCCACAACTTTTGACTAATGAATTTCCAATGTCATTACCAAGTCACTATTATAATACAAATATTTTATACACATTGCATGCATTTACACTGATTTAATAAACATAATATATTTATAAATACTCTTATATTTCCAGGTTTTCCCATGACCATTAGATCCTATATATGAGAAGAAAGTGGAACACCACAATTAATAGTATTTTATGTCAACACGAATAACGTGACTGTAAAAGATGCTGTTGAACCGGACAAGTACAATCATCCATAGGTCTGTCTCTGTGGTAACAGATTCAAAACATTAACACCGTCCATCACAAATCAAAAGATTTCCAAACACTGTTTGGTTACCCTACATAGTTTATATTATCTGTAAATTGGAAACTATATAACACTATAGCTCCATAAATATGACAGTCTAACGTTAGAACTTTCCATTGCAATTGTCTACAGTTTAAACACACAAAAACAAGGACATTTAAAACCAAAGGCCTCCTTCCTTAGGTATCTGCTCAAACCTGATGAAGGTCAAAACACAATACACTGCCTCTGAGAAACATGCAAAAAAAAAAATATATATACAATATAAACAGTTGTTTTATTGAATAGTTACTGGATCCTACCACAGAATTGCATTGACTGCAATGGCGAAACTGTCTTTCTTGCACCACTTCTTGCTAGCTTCACATGATAAACACGACGAATACAGTAGGATTACACTGCCAATCCACTACTTACCTTCTCTAAAACGTCCACATTAGATGAAGCAACTGTCTTTATTCAAATAAAAGCGTTGTTATTCCCGTTTGGAGCGTCTGACAGTGATTTCTCATCTGTCTCCAACTCCACAGCGCAACATCTTTTCATTGGCAACCAGAAAACACACACGAGCTCCGCCCATTAAGAGTTTTGATTGGTGGAGCTTCGAGCAATCCGATTATCTGCTTGGCTATTTTGATGTGTATTTTAGACATGATGGCTGAAAGAGGCGTGACGAACAGGCAAGTTAGGTAGGCGTGCGGCACAGGCGGCAGATGTGGTGTCAATTTGAGCTACTGAGATAAATAATTTACTATGACTTCTAGTGAGGGAGTTTTAAATGTGGCACACTAATTAAACTAATAATTATAACTATCAAACATGGCAAAAATGTATTTGTTTATTGAACGTTGAACGATTTTATAAATATAATTATTCCATTTTACCAGAGAATTGTACCAGAAACTGAATGCACCCGTTAAGTGTAGAAACTGTTTATTTTCTAAAATAACTGGACAAGGTTTTGTATCTTTTGTATACAAATCACATTTAGATCAGTAATACAACTTTATTGGTCCCTGATTAATAACAAAAGTAGAATGAAGTCAAATAAATGACACAATGTCTCACAACAATACAATATTGATCAATTAATTCTTGGTCTCTGAATCCTAGTCTAAACAACTCTCTAAACAATAAAGTGCTTAACAATTCGAAGACATATTCAAAGTCCTACACAGATCATTTTTAATCAATTGAATAAACAATAAAACATCCAAGAAAGATTAAGGGCATTGGAATGAGTCCTATACATCTAAAATGACGAAACGCAGCAACAAAAGTAGTCCAGATCTTGTCACATATTTTTAATTTGGTGCGACTCATTGAGAAGAACATTTCAGTGTTTGAACTCCACTGCAAGCTTCCAGATGTTTGCTGCTTTAGCCAAAGTAATTTCCTCTGGAAGAGTGTCTAGACCAGGAAGAGCAGTGATGTTCTTCTTCTCCAAATGCAATTCCATGGTGGAGGCGATGCTGTGGTGGAACACAGAAAGAGACAGGAGGAAGGGTGTTCAGTGGTGTGGTTTAGGATCAACAGTTAGCTTTGGATTCTATTGTTCTCAACACACGCATTCCTATTCTTTCTGACCAGCTGCCTGCTCAGTAGGTGACCAGAACAGGGCATACTGACAGATGGGAGCCTGGAGGGGTCAAAGTGTGCCTCTCTTGGGTTTAAAAGCCCACAGGTCTCCAGGGATTGACTAGGTTGAGGAGGGTCTGCATTGTTGTGATTGAAAGTGCTCATTCTGGGTAAAACTTAAAAGACCCTTATGTCAATTTTTGTTGTAGGACTTGGTATTAAATGCTATATAAGGTCTTTTTAAGTGCATTTGCTTGGGATGCCAAAACATTTCCTGACTTTCTATTTTGACAATAATTATCCTGAACAATGATATTATTAAGGTTTAAGAAATTTGGAATTGGATTGATGTTTTTAATCACAAGCCACATATATCAAAATGCTCCAGTGTCATCCAGTTTTAAAATGAATTACTATTCAGATCTTCAAAATGGCATTTTGCATAATCTTTGTAGTATAACTTGTGGTTTTCAAGGGTCCTGTGGTGTTCTAGGGTCCTGATCATTCTGTAAAGGTTTATTTTCATGATGATGTAGTTATCCCCTATGAAATGTATATTAAAAAAGTCTGGCAATCAAATGCCTAGCATTATTTTAACAATGGTCAGGCCTTTTTAGCAGTTTGCCTTTTGTAGCCAGTTTGCCTCAATAAACCCCACTCTCGCAAATGGTGAGCCCAGAAGGCAGTCCAGGCAGCTAAAATGCAGGGGAAATAAAAAAATAAGATCAGTTCTTACTCCCATTGCGGAGCGAAGCCGTCTTCCACAGTGCAGTTGAGCTGAAGGATCTCATGTAATTCCAAAGAGAAAATGTCGATATCTGTGAACCCAAGGAAAACTTTCACCTGCTTTCTTTCCTCTGAATTCAGATTATCTCTGAATTTTTCAGACAACTGCTGGAATGGATCCTGTAAAATTGTAAAATATTTAAATTAGTAAAACCATAATAAATAAAGATAAAAACATCTTTAGTATGTTCTGGAATGAAGCGTGAAAAAAAAAAAAATGCCGTACTGTCCTATTTAATCAATATGGTCCAGCTATTCAGAAGATTATTGCTTAAAAGTCTTTGAACTGTTGTTTGTGGCACACGCTCTCTTATTAAAGCGCGGCACACTCTGACCAACGCTCTCCCTTGGATTTACAACCTTCGTTTGTCCACTCTCTCTGTTGTTTAGGGTCAATCAGAGGAGGTCAACAGAGGTTACTAGTAATGGGGTCAGTTTAGTGACAGGCTAAATAGCTAAGCAGAAGGGGGGTATGGATGCCTGTACAAAGAATGCACTGTGAAAACATTCATTTGAACAGAAATCATTTATGCATATACTACCATTCAAAATTTGGGGATTTTTCTTTATGTTTGTGAAAGAAGTCTCTTATGCTGAAAAAGGCTGCATCTAGTATTCAGTAAAACAGTCATATTCTGAAATATTATTAAACCGTTTTCTGTTTTTGAATATATTTTAAAATTGACTTTATTCCTGAGATGACAAAGCTGAATTTTCAGCATCATTACTCCAGTCTTCAGTGTCAGACAGTTCTTCAGAAATCATCTAATATCCTGATTTTTAAACATTTTTGGTTATTATCGGTTGTGCAGCTTAACATTTTTTTTCTATAGGGATGGCGATGCATTTCTGTCAGGTTTCTTTGATAAAGTAAGAAAGAACAGCATTTTTTTAACAAGAAATTTTGCAATGTTATAAATGCCTTTACTGTCCATTTAACTCAATTTAATGAATCCTTACTAAATAAAACTATCAATTCCTATCAAGTACAAAAAATCGTACTTTGACCAAAATTTTACACAGCAGTGTATTTTATACTAAGGCACCGGCTATTTGAACTAAGTGTAAATATTTGTTAGATGCTATTTATACTTAGTGCAAATAGCAGAAATGGCAGAATCTATTTGCACCTCAGTGTATTGTAGCATATTATAAAACAACATGTAATGATAACATATTCAGAGTATATTATCATATTTAAAATAATAAATAGATGCTGCTTTGGGACATTACTCGCATAGTACTTAAAATTACCTTCCCCACACCTACTTCTACCCGTTAAACACTTCATTCCCACTATTAAATACCCGTTTATAGGCACCTTATTTCCATATTTTCGTATTTTTCATTTTAAATAAATGCTACTATGAGCTGATACAAACCTGGGTCACTCATTTTAAAAGCTAACACCACCCACCTGTCACTGACTCTGTTGTCAGTGAGATTTATTTAGTAATTTTGGATTTTGGGCTAATTTTAATGTAACAAGGCAGACTATTTGCACTATTGACACTCCGTTAAATACTAAATACACTTTTTTGAGAGCTATACAGAGGACATTTTATGATTTGTGTTAATGCCAAATGCTAAAACAAATGCTATAATTGTAATTCATAGTTTAGTTGTAAAAAAAAATACTATGAGATAGCTATGTGTCTTAATGACATACAGTTCTAATTGTCTCAAAACAACTTTCTTGTATGTTCCACATCATAGCTACTGTAGGCTGAATGTCAAATTACCTGTCCTTTCCTCATCATCTGTTCACTTTTCCAGCAGGTAAGGAGCTGCCAGGTGGCTGTGCACTGACTGAGCCGGTTCTCTTTTAAAGCCTGAAACCATGAAGCGTGGATTCGAATTACAGAAGCACACAGGTGACAGGCACTGAGAGTAGTGGTGAAATACCTGCTTGGTTAAATTTCCTTGAAGTTACTTCTTTAAATACATGCCTCACCTCAGCTATGTTACTTGAGATCTGTTGGTCCATTTTCAAAGAGTCTCTCAGATAGGACAGCAGCAGGGCCTGTGGGTCTCCTCCAGTTTTACCTAGGAAACGCAGTCCAATCTCCACGACATACACTGCATCACACACATCAGTGAATGAACGTAACATTGATCTCATGGAGCTGAGCAGAGAGCCCTTCAGAGGTTCCTGTCAATCAAATGGGGAAAAATGAGGATTCCTTGAGAAGAAGTGGACTTTCAATTAACTAAAAAATGTATTAATAAATAATTATATTAATTATATTATATTATATTTCTACATTAAATCACCGTAAACCAGAGGCATTTTACCTACTGTTTTTAATCAAATGATTGAAATGAAAAAAGACTGAAGAAAATCACCTGAGGTATTTTGGCTCTGACCTCATTGAGGACTTCTATAAAATTCTGATGGCGTCTTCTCAGATATTTATCAGTGTCCTGCAATACATTTTTAATTATAATTTTTTTAAGTAAACAATGAATCTGGTCATATATTGAACACCAGTATGATAATAAGGTTTAAAATGTGTGGACTCACTGTTTGAACGCGTGGTTTGCTTGCAAAAAAACGTCTGCTGAGTTCTCTCTCAATAGCCTGATAATCATAGGAGCTCACTGTCTGCTGACCCTTCTTTAGTGTGTAATGGCAGTTAGCTAACACCAGAGGGAGCAAATCCTTCTCCGGGTGACACAGGGCAAGTTGGCTCACGGACAGCGCAGCCAATGGAACTTTATAGTCACTGACACTGTAAGTCAAAAAAACTATTAATTGACATGCATTAAGTTGTTGAAACACATTTAGGGTGCTTTTCAAATGGAAGGCTGCATGATCAAGGCTGCATATCTTGGCTGCCACGTCATCAAGCGTTGCTGAAGGCTATCTTAATTTGAAGGATCCTTGGAAAGCTGCTTTCCTTTCGTGTCCTTTATTCACCTTTTTTTTGAAGGATGCATCAAGTATATCCTTTGGATCCTTAAAATCACCCACAATCCTTTTCATAAAACACACATTCCAATTCATAAAAAGAACTGATGGAAAATGAGTCGGCACTGCGCTTGTTGTCTGAGTTCGGAAATGAAGGTACATGTGTGACATAGCCATGTGCATTTACTAGATCGTTTCATTCTTACACGCTTACACGTCTCCGAAGGACTGGACTAAAGGGACACAGCCATAATAGGATGCAGCCTTCTGTT